TGATTCCTTTGCAACAACCACAAGCACAGGATTAGCTACAAAGCACTTTTAAAAAAGAGTTTCTTAGAGTTACAAAACAAACACTTTGGAAAGCTGAGCAGAGGTGGGGTGGCGGGGGACCCTGGGAATATGACAGCCTTAGCTACGGAAGTGCTGCCTTCCAGACCTGCTCAGGCTCTGTGACGTGAGCAAGTCGCACTCTCCTCAGGGCCACAGTGTCCTCAGCTGGGGGAAACAGCATCTACTCTGCAGGGCTGTGGTAAAGACCACATGAAACAACGTGCTGGAAAATAGCGTGAACGCTGAGGCACAACACAAATGCTGGTTATCTGTGGTGTGGGGGGCAGTCCTTTGACTGACATCTTGGACCTCCTCCTCAGGTCTGAGCTTCTGTGCTGTTTCGTCCTTCACCCAGTCCAGATTCCCGGGGCTCTGAGAGGCCTTTATCGTCGTGTCTGGCAGGGCCCGCCATCTCCACAACCCAGCTGCTGGGCATGTGGACTCCCGCTTCAGCGCCCGGCCTGGCTCGGACCTTGGGGGAGCTCTGCGCCTCTGCTCTGTGAATGAGCTTACTCCATCTGGGCCCCCTCGCTGGCTCCAGAACCCAGCTTTGATGGAGGCTCATCAGAACTGATGTAACTAGGGACATTTCACTCCTTCCAATTATAATATTATTACTCATGCTCACAAGTAAAACAAAACGATGATAAAAATCTCCTTATAGAACACGTGAGGGTGTTCCCATGCAGACACTGCCCTGTCTCTCTCCTCCCCGGTCCAATTCAGCTTGCAAGAGCGGTCTCTACTTACAACGCTGCCTCCTGGCCTCCCGTTTCATTTATGCATTTCCCTTTTACTGATGGCGCAGTCACACATGCAGTACCAAAAACGCAAAATAATGGAGGAAGATGTATAATGAAAAGCAACACTGTCTCACTCACTCGTCAGAGCAATCACTTTTAACCACTTCTCTTTTCAGATCTGGTGGTTACCTGTACCTGAATCAGCATCTTCACGTTGCTACACACCAGTGCGTCCGTTTAAAACATTATTTATGAAGGCCCTGCCAGGAACGGGAGGACTTAGCTATTTCTACTATACCCTTCTCAGTTCAACTTTCATTACTTTAAGTCTCATATTTTCCCTATGAATCAGCTTTAAGATATAGTTTACTATAAGAAAACAAAACCATTCTAAGTGTCCAGTTAGATGAGTGCTGACAAAAGGTACGCCCGTGGAGCCATCGTCACTATCACGACATAAAGCACTTCCCCCAGGCCCTTTTACAGTCAAGCTCACCCCAGCCCCAGACAACCACTGATCAGCTTTCTGTGAGTATAGATTAACTCTGCCTGTTCTGGAGTTTTACATACATGGACTAATACACTAGTACCTGGCTTCTTTTCCTCAATATAAAGTTTCTGAGGTTCATCCATGTAGTTGAGTTTCTTTGTAGTGGTAAGTATTGGGCTGTCAAAAAAGTCATGACGCATTTTTGCAACGAAAAAGATAGAAAAAATACGTCATGACTTTTCCGGCAACCCAACAGAACGCCATTGGATGGCTAGAGCACAATTCCTTATCCATTCACATGCTGGCGAACATCGGGGCTGCCTCCAGATTGGGGCTGTTGTGAATAAAGCTGCTGTGAGAATGCCTGCACAGGTCTTTCTGTGAATGTATGTTTTTTCTTCTCTTGGGTAAATATCTAGGCATGGAATTGCTGGGTCATAGGGTAAGTGTATACAAGTATTTCTTTAACTTTTTAAGAAAGTCTCTTCTTTCTCGGTCTCACCCACAAATAGCATGGCTGCCAATAAGTTGTATGAATATGATAGAAATTGCTATATCCTATTTTAGGATGGACAGGAGGGGTGCCTGCCTTTGCCCGTTGGCTGCAAATGCTAGAAACGGGTATGGCTTTACTCCGAGGTGGAGTCACATATATCAGGGCAGTGAAATTCTTCCCAGGCGTTTTTTCAGTCTCTTGACAGGCCCTTTGGATTTTCCCCCCGTAAGTCAAATGCCTGTAGCACTTCTGGACAGGGATGAGGGAGGAGGCGGCAAGCTGTGGAGAGCCTGCTGGGAGCCCGTAGACAGACACTCCATTAACCCCACCTGGCTCCCCCTCCTCACCCCTTCCCACCCTCCATGTTACTGCCTGCCTGAGTCTGGGGCGCCCTCTTCCTTTGGCAGGACCCGCTGATAGAGTCTGGGCTGCTGCTTTCTCTCTCTGATTATCCGTCTTCTAGGAAATTGTTAAACTTGTATTTACTGATGGTTCTTCTCCCATCCTTTCAGTTTGGCTGGGTTTGTTTATTTTATTGGGGTCTTGGGAGAGAGGAGACAAATGATTATCTTTGGTGTGCAGTCCTCCCCCAGAAATCGATAGATCTGATTCAGTGCAGCAGTCTAGTGCTAAATCCTACCCGGGAAGCCTCCCTAGCCACGCTCATTAGGCCAGTCTTTCCCTACTTACTGTCTCTGTAACATCTGGGTGACATCTGTCCTTCCTGAAACGCTGTTTTCATTTCCACAATACTACTCTCGCCTGGTTTTCTCCTGCCTTTCTGGCCACTTTTTCAGTCTCATTTCCACATTTCTTGTTCTCCGCCTTTAAATATCAGTGCTACTTAGCGTGCCACTGTAGATCTCCAATTTTTCTCACTCTACACATTCTGCTTAGATCTTGTGACCCAGTGAGTGTGCTCTTCTAAACCCTACACTTGCGGTGTTTAAACAGTCCCTCCCCCAATAAGCTTCCCTTGACTAATGACCCCATAGCACCAAAAAGACTACTCTAGAACGTCTCACACTGAACCACGTTTTCTGCTCATAAATCTATTTCTTCCTCCAGCCTTAAGTTGCCTAACAGCCCAAAACTGTGTTTTTTTTTAATTCCCAGCAACTCACCTAGCACACTGTTGGTAATCAATAAATATTTGCTGAATTGAATTTAGATTATGGATATTTCTAAATGCTTTATGTTTTATAGGTGTTATTACTGGTAATAATACTAAAGTTTGTACTTTGAAGAAAAGAATTCGCCAGGTAAAGATAAGCCTCAAGCTAATCAGAGAAAATCAAATTCTTAATTTGTGCAATATAAGTTAATGATGCTGTACAGAAATTAATGATGCACATATTCATGTGAAATTATATCCTCTTCATTCCTTGGTATTTATTTAGAGCCAAAGCCAATATTGATTTCTCCCATGAAAAAGTCTCACACCCATGTCCACAGCAGCATTATTCACAGTAGCCAAAAGGCAGAGGCAGCCCAAGTGTCCGTCAACCGATGAATGGGTAAACAAACTGTGATATGTACATACAACAGAAACATTATTCAGCCTTTAAAAGAAAGGAAACTCTGACACATGCTATAACATGGATGAACCCTGAGGACATTATGCTAAGTGAAATAAGTCAGTCACAAAAGGTCAAATAGTTTATAATTCAATTCATATAAGGGAACCTAGAGTAATCAGAGTCACAGAGACAGGAAGCAGAATGGTGGCTGCCAGGCTGGTGGGAGTGGGATGGGGAGTTAACGTTCAATGGGCACGGAGTTTTGGTGTGGCCATGAAAAGAGTTCTGGAGATGGGTGATTGTCAGAGTTGCACAACAGCGTGAATGTGCTTAATGCCGCTGAATTGCACATTTTAAAAAGGTTAAGGCGGTAAATTTTATATTATGTATATTTTATCACAATTAAAAATAAAATAGAGCGTGCTCTATTTCATTAGATTTTTTTCCAAACAAAATTTTGACCTATTTTTAAAATGAAAAATTTAGCAAATTATGGAGAGAGCAATGAGAACTATGGCAAATACAAGAAGCACCGTGAAGGATAAAAAAAATAGACCTATAGAATAACGATAATAATAGCTTCCATTTACTAGAACACTGTGTTACATGCTTTACATGGGTTAACTCATTCAAAATGACTACAAGAGACAAGAGAGAGATTAGAGAGATGAAATCACTTGCTGATGGTCTCACAGCTACAAAGTGGCAGAAACAGTTCAATGCCAGGTGCTCTGGTTTACAGCACACATTCTGACCCCCTATCTGCCTGGACACTTTGGGATCAGAGGGCTGGTGAGAAGCAGACCTCAAAACGTTCCCTAAGCATTCAAGCTTCTGAGTAATGAAAACAAAATCAATGATCTATGGAATACCTTTTATGTGCCTAGTATGTATGGAATGAGAGATTCCAATCAGATGTGGGAGGCAGATGTGTATGTAAATAACCAGGCAGTACAAGCCTTGAGCTGCCCAAGAGAGGCACGGAGGACACAGTCTCTAGCACAGACTGTGCCATCCAAACCCACGTGATTCCTGGTAACACAAGGGCTGCATAAATACCGACTAAGTGAAGTAACATCAGTCTGCAAAAATATAGTATCTCCGGATGCATTTGAAAACAAAAAGGCAAGAGGTTCAACTCTGCTTTCTCCTCAAAGAGAAGGAATTTAACAGCGATGACAGTCACTGACATTCACAGCACAATAAAGCGGAGTCAGACTTTTTGTTGAGATTACACTACACATGAACGATGTTATAGGTATCACGTGTTAAACTGTTCCCATATTAAAGATTCTGAGACAGATAATGATCACATGCAGCTGAAACTGCCACATAAAATTCACACTATAACTTGAACAGTTTCATTTTTCTAAAGAGAGATTGAGAGATTATGAGAACACAGACAGGAGTGATCCACTCTGAAAACCTAGATTCAAGCAGGTTTTGTGGGACTTTGCTGCTGTCCCGTAGTTCTCTCCACACTTAACATCTACACCCACATCACCCCAAGAAAACATCTGCTAATGTGTTAATGCCGAGCAGTGAGAGGTGGGCCTCACTTCCAGAGCCTGGGAATAATGGTAGCGTGCCATGCTCACCTCAAAAATCAAATCGGCACCTTCCATCCTAAGATGTCACGTTACTTGTTTTCACTGCACTCTTAAAAATTTCCATGTGAATATATACTATACCTTGTTCCAATATCAAGCCAGCTGCCATAATCCTTCACCAAGAAGAAGAAATGCTGTAAAATAAAACAAAATATGGCTCCATTAAAAACAAAGGCTATTTAGATTCGGTCGAAAAACTATGTTGTTTTAGGATTATGTGTTTCATATTCTGACCTCTGCTGAGGTCTCTGAATGGAATCAGTAAGTTACTGAAACTTCCGTTTGAACTAAAATGAGCAACAGCCTAAAAGTCAGAAAAAGCATTTCCATTCAATCAAATGAACAAAATCGTGACATTTGTGAATAACTAGAAATAAAGAAAACCAACTCTAATAAGAGACACTAAATAATACCAAAAACCTCAAGAAGCTATAGTATCCATCCATCAACAAATATTTATTGACCACCTACTATGTGCCAATCACTGTGTTAGGTCCTGGAGATAAACGCTCTTCCGGGAGATGTATAATCCAATAAATGATTCGGTCAAATTACCAGGCGCGTGTGTGTGATGAGTGTTTTCAGAAAATACAGGCCATTATGAGAACAGGGAAGAAGGGGTACATACCCCGACTAGAATATAAGGGAAGGCTGCCCCGATACAAAGTCTAAATATCTGTAAAAAGTAAGAGTCAGTTGAAAGAGGAGGTTGGGGAGATGGACGAAGTATGTTTCTGACAGAGGGTGCAGACCCTATGAATATGAGAAGTCCCGGGAGAGCTCGGCAGGTCCAAGGTGTGGCTGGGCAGAGAAAATAGGAGTGACAGTGAGAGCAGTGCCAGTCAAGCGAGCAGACGCCTCACACAGGTGTCTTTGTAAGTTAAATCAAGCAATCTGACTCTATATAAATCGTGAAATCTGAGAATTTCAACTCTCTTCTATTAACATGTCTTGCCTATTTGCCACTTTGGGAGCAAAACCGAAAGCTGATTTGTTCTGACATTATGTGCGGTCAATTTCAGAAATATACAGGCACACCTTGTTTTATCGCACTTCACCTTACTGCACTTCACAGATACTGGTTTTTGCTGTTGTTGTTGTTTTTTGTTTTTATAAATTGAAGGCAAGACCCTCCCCCAGCAAAATGATTATGACTCGCTTTATGGTGATATTCTCTTTACTGTGGTGGTCTGGAACTAAACCCACAATATCTCCGAGAAGTGCCTGTACTGAACACCCAGTTCAATACAACACAAAAATGCTCTCCTCTAAATCGAATGGCTGGGAATCTGAAATGGAAAGTGACTGTCACTGCTGTCTGTAATCACTTCTAGCATAGGATGCTGTGTAGTGAAGAATTATAACCTTACCCCTTGAGACGCCTGTCTTTTGCCTTTGGCTACTGTGATTTCTAAGGTGATTTCTAAGCCTTGGACTGTCATATCTGACAGGACTGTTTTGCCTGGGGGCTCTTAGCCACCAAACAGTCTAACAATGTGATTTATGTTGGGGACTTCGGACCGCGTGTTACTACAATAGTTCTACCTCGAGAAGGACTGGTGGTGGAAGGTCAGCCATGGGACTGAGTCCCGATAAAAAGTCTGGACACCAAAGCTCTGGCGAGCCTGGCTGGTAGTCAGTACTCCGGGAGGACTGTCACACATCGATGCTGGAAGAGTGACTCTGTCCTGACTCTGCAGGAAGAGGACAAGCACAGCCCCCGCATCTGGGCCCCTCTGAACTCCCATTGTCAGGTTTTATCCTGCGTACTTTCCCTGGAATCAACCATACCTGTGACTATAACAGTCTTCGGTGAGTTCTGAGTTCATCTAGTGAATTGTCAAACCTGAGGGTGGTTTTGGGAACCCCCAAACTTGCAGGTGCAAAATAGGCTCTTCTTTTTGTTACCACATTGTATACAAGAGGCCCACCCACATGCTCCTCAGTCAGAACTCATTTATTAGAGCTATCATCTTCTTAACATCTTCCCACTGGAAGAGCTCAATTTCCTCTTTCCTTCCTTCTCTTCCTCCCTCTCTACCTCCCTTTTTTCCTTTCTTTTTTAAGCTGAAAAAAGGGTTAAAAATCAACATTACAAGTAGGAAAATGATGTATTACCTAAATCTAAAGTTAACTTTTTCTGTTAACTTCCTATGGAAGCTCAATTCAGACACAACGCATCACGGAAGACTAGGTATAAAATAACAGATTCGAATAAATTAAATAAGAAGACTTTTCACACCTTACAAAGAGCATTCTTACTGCACAAAAAGCCATATAAAAAGAAAGTAATTTATATGTGTAAATTATGCCAGCACTTATAACTCAATATCTAAAGATTTCATGTACGGAAATGCATTCATATCTATCTTGATTGAATTAACTCAGCACTTAGCTTCTCAATTTTATTTATACTGAATATCCAAAAATATCTTACCAAAGCCATAATGTCCGATATGACAAGAACCATGAGAAAAAGACTGAAAAAAAGAAAAAGAAAAAGTTACACATAATACAGCAGGCACATTTTAAAAACACATTAAAATCAAAATGAGAATAATCAAATAACCCAATATTCTGAGAGCATTTTTGCTTCTGAAAATACTCCTTTTGACAAAAGCTCTTTTCATATTATTATCATGGACTATTGTCCTGCAGTGATAGGCTGGACTATAAAAATGTTACTTAACACTTTGAATATTTAGTTCAATACTATAAAAGGGACACAAATTATGATTTGTAAATTACACTTCTTATTTTAGATAATTGTAGATTCACATGCAATTTTAAGGTATAACATAGAGGAACCCTATGTATCCTTTGCCCAGTTTCCCCCAATGGTAACATCTTACAAAACTATAAAATATTACAACCAGATATTGCCATTGATGCTGTCAGATACAGAACGCACCCACCATCACAAGGATCCCTCATGATAACTCTTTTATAGCCACACTTCTGCCTAATCCCTAACCTTGTGGGAACCACTAATCTGTTCTCCATTTCTATAATTTTGCCATTTGAAGAGTGTTGTATAAGAGGAATCAATTATAAAACACTCTGTAATCTTTTGGAATTGTCTTTTTTCACTCAGCACAATTTCCTTGAGATTCATCTAAAGAGCTGTGTGTATCGTATATAGTCTGTTCCTTTTCATTGCTGAGCAATACTCCCGTGTATGGATGTACCACAGTTTGCTTAACCATTCAAGCACTGAAGGACATCAGGACTGTTTCAAGTTTGTAGCTATTACAAATAAAGCTGCAATAAACATTTGTGTACAGTTTTTTTACACAAACATAAGTTTTCATTTCTGTAGGAAAAACACCTAAGAGGGTAACTGCTGAATTGTATGGCAGTTAAATGTTTGGTTTCATAAGAAACTATAAAACTCTTTTCAGAGTGGTTGTACCATTTTACATTCCTATCAGCAATGTACGAGAACAATTTTTTTTTGCATCCTCACCAGCATTTGATGAAGTCATGTTTTTTATTTTACTATTCTGACAGTCATATAATGAATGATACCTCATTGTGGTTATAATACATGTTTCCCTAATGGCTGTGATGCTGAACATCTTTTTGTTGACTTTTTTGCCATTCTATGTCCTCTTTAGGTCTTCTGCTCATTTTCTAATTGAATTATTGGGTTTTACTGTTGAATTTAAGAGTTCTTTATTTATTCTAGATAGTAGTCCTTTGACAGACATGTGGTTTGTAATTATTTTCTCCCAGTATATAGTGTTTCTTTTCATTCTCTTAACAGGGGTTTTTTTGCAGAGTGAAAACTTTTAATTTTGACAAAGTCCAATTTATCAATTTTTCCTTTTATATAGATCATGGTTTTGGTGTCAAGTCCAAAGTGTTTCCTAGCCCAAATTCCAAAGACTTTCTTTCATGTTTTTTTCTAAAAGTTTAAATCCATGGTCCATTTTGAGTTAATTTTTATATAAGATGTGAGATTTTGATCAAGATTTATAACTTCATTTTAAGAAATAATTGTTTTCCTAACTATATGTTTGAAATATAGAAATATAACTCAATATGTATCTCATATGCATATACTATATACCACAAGTCAGGCTGATCATATCTTACTGAAATATTATCATTTAAAACAAATTTGAGGAGCTGCCCGTTAGCTCAGGTGGTTGGTTAGAGCGCAGGCTCATAACATCAAAGTTGCCAGTTCGATCCCCACATGGGCCACTGAGTTGCGCCCTCCACAACTGGATTGAAACAACTACTCAACTTGGAGCTGATGGGTCCTGGAAAAACACACTGATCCCCAAAAATAAAAATAAAATTTAAAAACAAATCTGATATAACAAAGATATAATAAAGTGTGTTAAGTGTTTGTAGAGAACACAGTGGTCATCTGGTATAACCTTCTCCCCACAGCATGAATATTCCCAAAGTTACAATCCCAAAGGAGGCTTTGTCTAGCACAAGCTTTGGTGGTTCCAGTAACAGATTCCACTCCATTTCTGACAGCTCCAATGATTGCAAAGTGCTTCCCTTCTTTGAATCATATAGTCAGTGAAACAAAAATTCCACCCTATGGAACCAGTTCTTCTGGAACAAGAGATAAACACAATTTAAATGAAACAGGCCTTAAACTATCTTTTTAAAACTTTTGTTTAATCTTTTTGAGTGTTGTTTTTCTAAAGCAAATTATTTTATTGCATGACACAGGTGATATTCTGGAATCCTTTTGAAGTAAGACACACCTGATTAAGTTACTTACTGTCTTCTCAGCCTCAGTTTCCTTATCTATAGAATGGGCGAAAGAATACCTACTGCAGTATATTTTTGGGAAAATTAATTCAGGTAATATATGTACAGTACCTGACACAATGCCTGCATATGGTAGGTGCCTAATAAACACTGGTTCCTTTCTAACTACTTGTAACAAAAGCTGTAGATAAAATTAAAGACAATGAAAGTTACAATCTCTGCCTTCACAGAGTTCACACGGTACGTATCAGTTAGCTAGGGCTGCCTTAACAAAGTAGCACAGACTGGGTGGCTTAAAGGACAGAAGATGATTACCTCACAGTTCTGAAGGCTAAGCTTAGGATCAAGGTGTCAGCAGGGTTGGCTTCATGCTGAGGCCTCTTTCTGTGGCTTGTAGATGGCCACCTTCTCTCTCTGTGCCCACATGGTCTCTCTGTGTTCTAATACTCTTCATATAAGGACACCAGTTATACTGGACTAGGGCCCACTCATAGCACCTCATTTTATCTTAATTATCTTTTTAAATGCCCTATCTCAAAATAAAATCACATTTAACATTTGCGTTTTGGGGGAACACAAGTCTGTCTACAACAGGGTATGGATCAGAAAAGTAAGAGATAGTTTTATCACCATACGAGTTACCTAACTTGGCTAGGAATTTGAGGGTGGGGCAGCTGAGTAAGAAAAGCTTATCAGAGAATACGATATCTGATCTAAGCTCTTTTTTTAAAGATTTTTATTGGGGAATTTGAGGATGGGAATAGCTCCGGGGAACTGGGGGAAGGGGAACAGACAAGTTGCTGTTGTTTTGTTCTTAAGCCTGGTTGTAGAGGACGTCACTTCACTCGCCCAAATTGTCACCATCACTGCGCTCTTCCCAAGCGAGGCAGATCAGTCACCGGCTTCTGGACGGCCGCTCACTGCGGCTGCTGGCTGTTCACGCTGCTGCTGGCTGCACACGGTAGCCCATGGCAACCCACTGCCACAGGGGCTGCAGCCTACGCCATCACCGGCAACTCACGGCAGCCCAGCTCCAGGCTGAGCTGTTGTTCAGCATCTTAGCTGTAGAGGGCAGCGTCACTGGCCCTCATATGTGGGATCCGAACCAGGGACCTCTGGCGTCCCAAGCCAGTTCTTAACCAACGCGCCACTCGGCTGGCCCTGATCTAAGCTTTAATTAACAAGAAGGAAAAAGCTTTTCCAGGGCAAATCGTCACACTCTTGAACCATTCTGTGGAAGGTGAGGAACAGAGAAGCAAACTGCCCAAGATCACATAGCTGGTAAGAGGGCCAACATCCAACAGAGCCTGTGCTCCTGACCAGGACGCACACCGCCTCCCCCGGGGCACGACTGACTCTCAGACGCCCTCAGCATGCTCCTCAGTTTCCTTTGAATGTGCCCCTTGTTTAGTCACATATGTTTAAATAGGCATAAATGTAACACTGTCCAATATTCATGGTGATCAAATCACTATGACAGTAAGATGGGATTGTCACGCTCCTTGTTCTGGATATATTTCTATTAAAAGAAGGTTAGTTTTATATCATTGTATCTAGAATGTTTTGAAGCTACTGGGCACCTGCATCCTATGAGTTTGCCCCATGAATACTTTATGATTCAAGAAATAAACACCTGCTACTGGGTTTTTATCCAAATGATAGTAAACATTACCTCTTATCCCCTCCACCAACCCACTATGCGCATTCACCTGCAATGGTCTCTTAACTGACCTCCCTGCTTTGAGTCTTGTCCTCCTATGGTTATTTATTGTCCATAGGACAGACAATGGGGCCGTTGAAACCTTTCCAATGGCTTCTTGACACAAATAGGAAAGATTCTAAGGTCCTAAGCATGGCCTGAGAGCCCCATATGGTCTGGCCCCCGCCTATCATAGCTCGTCTACAGGCACACTCCATTGAAGGCAGGCCCACCTGGTGTCTCTCAGATGCACCACACACGCGTTCACGTCACGCTCTCTGTACACCCCGCAGCCTCTCCACCTGCGATGCTCTTTACTCACACAGCTTCATGGTCCACTCTGTGTTTATTCAGGTTTCTGCTTAAATGTCCCCACCTCATAGAAGTCTCCTCTGATCAATCTATTTTTCTTCCTGACATTTAATACTACCTGACATTTTATCATCATGGCAAGCATTGTATTTACTATTTATCTCTCTGAATAGATGGTAAGTTCTATTCACCAATGACCAGCAGATAGAATAGAGGTTGGCAGATAACAAACTCAAAACGTACGTGCTAAATGAATGATAGGAGTAATCAGCATAAAATAAAAATTGAAAATGGTGACTACACATGTTGTGACATTTCTTTTAGACACAAATCTGACTTAAGAACGTCTTCCTTTTGGTCCCATAGAACTAAAAAGATTTGAACCAAGGAAAATTAAACTTGGCAGAAACACCACCAAATAACATTGTAAAAAGCTCAAACCACCCGGAGTAAAATCTGTAACTAACAAAATAATGATGGAAGAAGCAAATCTTCTTGACAAAACCAGGTCTGTAATATCCGACCCAGGTAAATTAGACCTGGTAGAGATAATAACCATAAAAGAAAAAAAATCACATTAGCTAGAGCTAAAATTCATAGACTTTAAGATAGATTAAAAAAATAGAATGAACCAAAATTTCTTTATTAAATTTTTCAAAAATGACTTCAATAAAAACAATTTTAACTAAAAATAAAAATAAAAATACTCAGAAGTAGTTTAGTTTCACTTCATATTAAATTAATAAAAAATTAAGCTGCCTTAATATACTTTCCCCTGGAAAATGCTCTCTCAATATAAGAGATTCGATATTGGAGTAATTCTGATCCAAATTTGGATTCCTAAATATGGAAGCATAACATCCTGAAGACTAAACCATCTGGTAGTACAAAACAGTATATTCAAAATATTCTTATGTTCATTTCAATTAGTACAGGGCATGAGAAAACTAGCTTTTAGCTGCTGGATCATGGTGTTGACAATTGTTGGCCTTCCCTAAGGTTTGTTCAATCACCACTGGTTAGTCATGGCTCCCTTGAGTCTGTGATCAAGTATAGAACTGAAAAATTATCCCTTTTAGATCTCTTTATTTGGTTGGTTGTTGAATACTTAAGTAACTCTAAAACTTTCTTCTCTTTCTCGAAGTCTAAGTTCCTTACACTCTGTTGATTCTGAAGGTGATAAAGGTCTTCAAGGTCTACGTCACCTCATCGCATGAGGCCTCAAAATATCTTCCTCAACTGTGACAGACACTTTTGGCTGGCTGCTTCCCACACTCACGCCAAGCCACAACTTGCTTTTCCCGAACCACCTTCCGGCTTAGAAATGAATGTGTGCCAGGCAGAGCTCCGGTCATTGAGACACAATCCAAAATCTGTTGGATGGGCATTTAGGAGAGACACTGCTTCCCCGATGGAAGGGAGCATCAGCTGACACAGACCCTTGCCCTTTCCCCCCTGAGTCCTTCCCATCTGGGTGGCAGATACGATGCATGCAAGTGTGAGAAGAGCCAACACCTTAGATGGGAGAGCAGAAAGGCGGGGTTGTGATGACATCGTTATGAGACAATAAATCCCTATTTCTTCCAGCTACTGTTACATTCTCATTACTTACTGCCAAAAGCATTTCTAACAGGTCAACCATTAGGTAATCTTCATGCCCAGATACTTCCTTCTACTGGCCTCTACCCAAAATATACAAGTCTTTGAAATAAAGCCAGATATCAAGACTGAGAAATTAGATACATTATTGATATTTAGAAAAGTTAATTTTAAAGTCACGCACAATCAAATAATGCTAACACAGCTGTTGTACCTTATTTTTGTTCAACACATACTTAAAGAATGAGTTGAAAAGAAAAGCAGTTTGTTATGCTCAACTCATCCTTGGCATTATGGGTATAACAAGTAAGTCATTAGTATGAACTCCATCTCCATCTTAACCCCTAGGCTTTCAAGAATTGTGTTGTAAGAAAACGTTTAGCAACATAAATAATGAGACTGAATATGTGGGTAGAAGGAGAGATGATATCAGTGATATTTAGCAAGTGGATCTGGCAAGGGGTGGATGAACTTAGGCTTGTGTGACAGATTAAAGAAAACAGGATCAGGAGCTAGTTTTCAACAGGAAGAAAAGGAATTGCTAGGTTCAATGTGTGACATTATTAAATTTGAAGGGTCAGTGTGATATCAAGGGAGAAATGTCAGTGACTTGTAAAGGTTTAGTGGTCAAAAGACATTTATAAAGCCTCAACTTTGTTACCTTTACCTCAGTCGCCTCCCTTTGTGTTTATTTTGTTGCACTGGTCTCAGAACAGAATTACTACACACATGTGCACGCGTGCGTGCACACACAGATATACATATACACACTTTGATGAGCCTTCTACTTCTTATTCTACCTGTCCCCAGCTCTTTTATTAAACATTAATTAAAATCTTTTCTAAAAAAATGTATCCACTAACAGATGCAAGAAAGTACCTATAAGTTACCAGTTTTTTTATTGCACCTAAGTAACTATCTTTTATGTGATATTAACAAGTTATAAATGCTTTCAATGTTAAATTCATGTAAATATTCTGCAAAAATATACAAAATTGAACTAGAAATGAGATTGCTACTACTTTTAAACCGTGGAAGAAAATCTGGTGTGTTTTTTTTATTATGGCATATACATAATAATCTGTTGTAACTTAAACTCATTAACATGCAAATTTATGCTAATACCAGTTATTTCTTTCAACACTGAATATACCACTTCGATTCAACAATAACAGAACTGCTAAGCTTCATATCTATCTCCAGTGTCTTTCAGAGAGGCTGACCAGTCCTGTGCTGATGAGGCAATTTTATTGGTTAAAAAAAGCAGAGTAGAGTTGACAGCTTCTCTTCCAGAGGTTTGATGGCTTAAGACTGACTGCTCCAGAAATTCCTCAAAACTCAGAAAGAATATTTTACATTCTATTTGTCAAATGTATAGAAATCAAGACTGAGAAACTATGTATACTATTGACATTTAGAACAGCTAATTTCAAACCAAGTAAAATGAAATTATGTTAACACATTTGTGTAATACATATTTAGGAAATAATCCCCCCAAAACAGAATGATATTCCCCCCTTTTTTGTAGGCACAGCTATATCTACAATAAACAAGTCATTAATTACAATAATTTAACATTTATGTTTTACTGTTTTCTAGAGAGGATCTTCATTAGCTCGAATAATATTCTAGTAACATTTAACATTTCATTGTTAAGAAAGCATATTTGCCTGCTACAGGCTCTCTTCAACTACTTTCCTCTAATGACAACTGAACTCTGACTAAAAAGATAAAGCATTTTTTCTCATTTTTATAAGAAACAATCTATGTTACAGTGTCTTAATAGCAATCACATGAAATACTCTTAAATGCTTACTCTCATTTCCTAAAAATGGGCAAATACAATGGCTCGTAAACATTCATCTTACCTTTTTGATGACAACTGGGTAGTTAATTGAACTGCTTCAAAAGCGCACATCACAAGAACAAAGGGGATTAAAATCTGTTTAAAAGAACAACAAATGATGCCACGGGGAGCTGAAGCACTTGAAAACTGTTTTGAAATAAATATTATTTCTGTTTATAGAAATATTTCAATTTCTCAAATAAATTTTATCTATATTAGTAAAGAGAAAATGCTGAAATAAAACCAGGATACCAATGACATATAGAACTGTGATGAAACTGACTTTAAAATCTGTATCAATAATATATGTAGTATAAAAAAATCACAAATACAACTCACATTCCAAATAAAACCTATTACAAATCTTTGTTCCAGTTACCTCATTATATTAATTAATGACCATGTTTAAATGATTCCAAGAGGGTGTGAAAGGCACAGGATGCCCAAATGAAATAAATTATGGAAACTGATAATTTGATTCACAGATCCCTGAACCCATCTGGTTATTTGATACTATAACTCCATAAACAAGATTTAGCTGTTCAACCACTGCTTTTTGTTATTCTATTTTAATACTAATTTATTTCTAGTTATAAAATTCATACTCACTGTAAAAAAAAATTGTAAAAAAAAAATTGAGAAAGGTATAATAAAATTTATACTGGTTGAAAATCCATAATCCAGAGCTAACACTGAAAATATTTTGAGATACTGCTTTCCAATGACCAATTAAAAAAAATATATATATATATATATATTTTATATATATAAATTATATACATGGTACTTTTAAAAAAGAGAGGTAGACGATATGGAAAATAAATGATGTTTAAGACTGTGTCAGATTCTTTTTCAAGTGAAGGATACACGAATATGATTAAAATAGAACTTAGGTGGATCTTCACTGCCAGCCACATCAGTCAAAAAGAGTCATCAAGTTCAGTATGTCAGTAAAGCTCTCTGAATTACAGGTAAAGGTTAAAGATCTAGCATTCTAATTAAACTTTTTTTTCTTGTTTTTAATTAAAGGCCCATGGTCTTTAATAGACTGAAAGAAGAACAACTACCATTATAAAAAAAATGTAAATTTAGATTAAGAAAACAATACATGTTTTAAAATAATTCAGTAGACAATGGAACATCTTTCTGACATTTCTTAAAATTACGTTTGTATCAGTACAGTAACAAAAAAAGGATATTAATCCTATTAAGAGATACGTACTTTTAACAATTATTACTTCTGTTATCTGAACAGAAGGAAATCAGATTTTTGGCAGATATTAGTTACTTTATTTAAACAAATATATACAGTTGGCCTTCCATATCCAGATTCAACCACCCGCAGATTGAAAAAATTGGGGGGAAAAAAGGTACACTGTTGCTGATGTGTACTATGTAGTTAGGCCTACAATGGTTGCGTCTGTACTGAAAATGTATGGACTTTTTTTCTTGTCATTATTCCCTAAACAATACATCTTAACAACAAATTACATAACATTTACATTGTATTAGGTATTAAATAACCTAGAGATGATTTAAAGTAATCAAAAGCACGTGCATAGGTTATATGCAAATATACAATTTTATATTAGGAACTGAAGCATCTGTGAATTTTGGTATCCACAGAGGATCCTGGAACCAATCCCCTGGTTAACCAAGAGGACTGTACTAACTATGTAAAATGTGTCAGACACTATGGTAGACAGGATGAGATGAGCATAATGACCCTAGAAAGATGGGAAAGAACGTGAATTGCACTCCACTAGATTCTGAACCCCCCTGGTAAGCTGCGAATTTGTCATTATATTGGTATCCTTAGCACCCAGCTGGTGTCTGGCGCATTACTGAATGTAAGCACTCGATGACATATTTGTTGATTAATGAATCCATTCTGGGTACATGCATTATGAGAGAAGATTGTAACATGTTGACAGTCTCGTGGGTGGGGAACATGGGTTCAGGACCTTAGATCTTGAGGAGGATGCAGTTTTGATCTGACTGTACTTCCCCACAGGCTTTAATCACCTTTGGTAGGACTTCCTGGAACTAACATAGAATTTCTACTCTTTTGAAGTTTAATGGGCTTAAGAGTAAAAGCAAAAAGATGAACTATATTTTTTGCAGTAAAGGCTAGAGGGTCCCACCTCCCGTTCTGCAGTGTCTAAGAAGGTACCTTCTTTCTATGCTATTTAACGTTGTCACAATTACTTTATAATCTTAATGTCACAATGAGTTCATAGTCTTAATTAATCAGTATCTTAATAAAATAATAATAAAACTAACCTTCCACATCATCAGGGCTCCCATCATAAAAGGATTAAATACGGTCAGAAAGCAGTAAACAGAGGCAAGATCAAAGCTAAGGAACCAACACACACAAAAAAATGATTTTAGAATTCACATTGTAACTTTAAAAGACTGTCTGCTAAAATACACTCTTACTAAAACACAAGCACACACTGTATCAAGGAACATTATATCTGTATGTGCTGATACATATCAATCTCCAAAACGTATCTTTCAGTATAAAAAGCAAGGTACAGAACAAAATCTCAATCCGTATTAGTTTTTTGGATATATACTGCTTTCATTTAAAATTACCTGTTAATAGAAGCTATGTTCCCAGTTCCAAAAAATGCTGTCACTAAAAAGAAGACCTAAATAGTGTTAAGGAAATGCCTAGACAAGTCAGAATTCATACAAATTTCTGTTTCATGTAGAAAAGATATGCCTATTCTACCATGAGGGTCATTTGCCTTTTCATTTGTACATCTGATCATGAATGGCTCAAGGTTCAAGATCAGGCAAAGGAAGAATAAGTTTTAGTGAAGGAGAACAGAGATGATGAAAGCTAAGAAGAGAACTCAGACCATGCCCTGGAAGTCCAGGGGAAAGAGAGAAATCAGTCAAGTTGAAGGGTCGAGTGCGGTTAAGGTAACACTGAACAGAACAGACTGCAGACCCCGTAGAGTGCAGCTTCAGCAGAGACATCTGACAAATCTTCACAGAGCCAGTGCTCCCCAGCATGTGCCAGGCGCTGTTGTAGGCTTGAGGACACAGTACATAAATGGGGAGGAAAAGGGGGCAGCAACTATAGAGTCTTCTTCCAAGGAGCTTGGAAATAAACGGAAAAGACAAGATGAAATTACAATTCAGGGGGATGCACAGTTGAAGGAAAGAAGCGTGTCTAGGCTGAGTGGAAGGCGCCTGCCAAAAGGGGGAAAGCAAAATTGAGAGCGAAAGTGAGAGGCAGACGAGAGAATGAGAACATTTATTGTCTGGACCTCAAAGGTCCACCACAGTGAGTTCAAAGAAAATGGCTCCCTATGAATTTCTTGAAGCAGGTCGGCCAGTCTTCCCAAAGTGAGACTTCCTTCGGCCACACTGTCTTTCAAACTTCTGATTTTAATAATGTTCGCACAATGCTGCCTCTGATGTGATCCAAAAACTTTGTGAGACAGAGGTTATATGAGTATAACATAGAACACACATAAAAAGATACAAACCAAACTTTTTTTCCCCCTTTTTCCAAACCAAACTCTTAATAGTGGTTCCTTCTGAATAAGGGAAATTAGGTTGGGGTGGGGAGTTGAAAGGAGACTTTGGCTTTAGCTGTAATGTTTTGTTTTAAATGTGTGACATATGTGACAAAGTATTAATTGTTGGTATCACAGATGGTAGGAATACACACATACACATTTGTTTGTCACATCATTTTTTAGGCTTCTCTATAGTTTCAAAAATGTTTAAAAATGTAAACTAGGAAAAAATTATGGTTGAGGAGGGTTAAATGGCCTCCAAGGTAATACCACTGTTAAGTGACAGGCAGAAGCACCTCCCACGTCTTCCTCCATTAAATGGGAGGTTGCAGCAACTTAAACAAAAGTGCAAACAAAGGATACAAGGAAAAAGGCCCTACGGGTGTCGTCCCAAGAGAGCTGTCGAAACTGGCTTATATCAGTATTACAGGTGAACTGGATATTGCTGACCTGTGAAAAGTAAGACATATATGAATGCATAATAACAGTTCACTTACTTCCATCCCAAAAGGCAAACTTACAGTCCAAGTTACAATAGCTAGAAAGATACATCGTACTGAGAAAAAAATTAACAATAAATCTTTTCCTATAGCTTAATCACACCTTAATAAAATCTGCCAAAAGGAAAAATGTGTTGCTAATAATATACTGTAATTAAAGCAAGAATTGGGCTTTTTGTTATCCTATACAAATGCTTCACTTTTAAATACCTATATAATTCTTCACTTTTCTAAGACCTGATTTCTCAGACTGCCCTGATCTTCTCAAACCCAGGGATGGTTTTATATTAAAGAGCATGATAAAATTAAATACTTCTGTTTCTTTGTTCCTCTGTTAATCCTATTCGTAGAGAAATTATTTTCTCTCTGTAAAAAAGCAAAATATTTCTGTCTCTGGTAAAATAGGAAGCCACTAAATTCCAAGAAGAAGGGCGCTCTCTTGCTTAATCCCTCACACCCTCCCCATCAAAAATCATGGCTGAGTTTACAGGGAACCTTTCCTCATCCCCCACTCCACATGTAATTTTCCAGTAAGTTCTTAGGATGCTTTAATACTCTTTTCTAGAAAAATATCTGTTTTCAGTTAAAAAATAGAATTAAAAAAATGACACAATAAACTTCATTTTAAAATTTAATATTTATTTAATATTAAAATATTTAACATTTATTTAATATTTAATATTAAGGACAGTCTGACAAGTTACTTAATCTGATCAAAATTACTTTTCATGTATTGATTTACTAGTCCAGGGCTGAAAGTTAAAAAACAGTAATTATTCAATATATTTCAATAAATTTCTTTCTTCTTTAATGAAATTAATTATTCTAAATTATCAATTACTCTATAAACTCAACTAAAAGCAGTTAAGGATAAATCAAGTACGAAGGGGTTTTTCTGCAGTATTCATTTTATCTGACCTCAGTAAAACTGCAAATATTCTGTCACCAATTTCTCATAATTAACTTCAGTTCTAAAATAAAGGCAAGAGACATCAATTCAACTCTATTTCAAAATAATAAAGGTGTCCTTAGAATTTGATTGGCTTTCAGCCAATTCAAAGTACATACTACGTTGCATAAACAGTCTAAGATTTTGCTTGAGGCTACAATCACTAAGGTGATAGAATAAGCACTTTGGATTAGGATGACTAGAAAGAGAAAAACAACACAAGGAACATAAATGTCACCTTATGATCAAATTCATAAATAGATTCGTGACTCTATTAGACAACATAAATAGACAACATAAATATTCTTCCAGGTAAAATAAACTGGAAGAAAGAAAAATTAGGTATGAAAATAGAAGACAGTAAGATAAAGAACATTCTTTCTCCTCCATTCCTTCACTTATATTGATGTTTTTTATATCAGTGATTCTCAAATAATCTCTAAGAAAAGCTCAACATATATAATGCCCATAAAACAATAAAATCATGCTTTTCTGTTATAAGTAAAAAGTATCCTTATAAACTCATTGTTTAACTTAATTATTAATGCCTCAAACGGTAAAAAATTTTAAGTAGAAAGAATTTTGATGAACTAACACTGCAACTTCCTTACAGGATAGAGACTCTTCTAATATTCTCAAATAAATGCAATAGTGATTTTGACATGCTACCTTCTGTTTGCAGGAAACACCACATCGCTGTAGGGTTTCTTGTTCCATGTGTATCCACACAAACATCACACAGGACAATACTAATGGAAAGAGAGCTTCATACCTAAGGGTTGGGGTAGGGGTGGAGTGAAAGTCGGAGGGTAGAAATGAAAAGAAAGAAACGTTAAACAAATTCAAATGCAAATTTGCACTGAGAGCTCTTTCTCAAAATTAAAACAATCTTGTTAATACCCCTAAGTCACAATATCACAAAATTTAAATTTTCTAGGGTTTCCAGAAGAAGAAAGTAGGAAAGGGAAGTAACATTTAAATATCAACTCTAACACCATCTTCTTTTGAAATGTATTAAATCTTGAGATCATGGTATGTTTAAAATAGTAGAGATATTTAAAAATAATTAATAAAGTAAATGACAGATATACACATAAAAGAGAAAATATTAAGACAAAGGTAAAAAAGACAATTCCCGAGTTAAAATTATTAATATACACAGAAGAAAAGCAAGGCAAATGTTCTTTTTTTTTAAATGGGAGCAATACAGGAACATAAACTTCTCAAAAAGAAAAAAATGCCAATAAATACATAAAAACATTTGACCTTATTGATAACTGATATGGAAATTAAAACAATAGGAAGATACCATATTCACTTATCATGTTTACCCATGTTAAAAAATATAATGTTGACAAGAGTGTAACAAAAAAAGAACTCATGCTCTATATAGGAGTAAAACACTTTCTAGAAGGCAGCACTAATCATCAAGAATCTCAAAAATATTCATACTATAACTCAATAATGTCACTTCTAGGAATTACCCCAGAAAATCATTAGATACATGCATTATAACCCCCATATGAAGATGTTTGTTGCAATATTGTTTATGAAGCAAAAAACAGAAAATAACCTATGTATCCACAGGTGAGTGATTAAATCATGCACGGTACATCTCTAGGATACAGTATAATATGTGGACAAAGGACAATAGTCACAGAAGCCTTTTCTAATCCTTTTCTGCCCTATTTTCGGATAATCCCCCCAATACTCTTCTTATCCTACTTATCACAGTTTTAATCATAGTTTACTTATACGTATTCCCCTGCTAGTCTGTAAAATTTTGCGTCAGTCTTGTCACCACTGCAGGCCCAGCTCACAACAAGTATTTGATGACTGAGTTACTTACCTAACTGGGAGTTACAAAACAAAATCTAATGAACCAAACCACTTTGTTTCTCTTTCAACTTTTTCAACTACTGAACTCTATTCCATATGGCACTATTTCCTAAACATGAGAAAGCAAAAGAAACAAAACGCTTTAAACTCTTCCACATATCATAAAACTAGAACACTGAAGACTTGGGCAGAGGAAACATTTAGGTTTGAAAAAGCATACACTAATCACCTGGTATACATAATTTAGAATGCCCAAGGATAATGAACAGATAATACGTGCATGAGAAAATACCGCTAGTTAAACAAGTTCAGAAAGTTATACAAAGCTTTCCAATTTTGACCTATTAAAATAGCATCTGGTACTCTCATTTTAAAATGAAAGCGCCAAGTGCTATAAAGAATATGATGAAATAGGACCCCTTATAGGTTATTGGTGAGGCTATAAATTGGCACTGTTCTTAAGACAAAAGTAAAAAAATAATAATAATTTATACTAAGTGGCCCATCTACACTACATCTGAGAAGTGAACAAAGTAAATAATCTAAACTATGTAAGAAGTTTATGTATAAAAACATAACTCAAAATATTATTTATGATAAGAAAAGGTGGAAATAAAATGATCAAAAATAGAGGAATGGCGAAGGTGAATCCACACCATAGAATATTAAATATCTATTAAAATGATGGTTAGGAAGCCTATGAGCCACGTGGGAAAATGTTGCTAAAATAATGTTAAGTAGAAAAAAAAATACAAAATAGTATATAGACTATGATTAATACTATGCTAAAAAGACAAACAGAGGTAAGGCTGGAAGGAAATATACCAGAGCATCAACAGGAGAAGTAGGGTTAAGAAATGCTTTTGCCCCTTAATCCCTACTTTCCAAAATGTGATTATACTATTTTTACAATGATTTTAAAAAATAATTGAGAACGCCATGTTGCAGCCTGAAGAACAGTCCACCTTGGCATGCGGCTGAGGTCTGCAGGGGGCAGAGCTGCGACGACCCGATTTTGAGCCTCAGCATCTTCCTCTCTGAGTGGATGCCAACTGACAGCAGCCCTAGAGGAGGCCCACACATTGAGGAACTGAAGCTTCCTGCCACAAGCTGTGCCAGTGGGCTGGAAGTGGGTCCTTCAGAGGACTGCAGCCCCCCGCCCCATCCCACCTCCAACAATGTGAATGTAGCCTCATGAGAGTCCCAGGACGACCCAGCTAATAAGCTGCTCCCAAATTCCTGGCTCTCGGAAACTGCATGACATGCTTCTTGTTTTAATCCACTCATTTTGGGGGTAATGTGCTATACAGCAATAAAAAATTAATACAGTTAAAAAAAGTAATTGAAAGACAAAGATTTAGCATGCCTGTCTCCTAGCCATTCTTTAAAACTTAGTCCATCTTCCCCCTGAGTCCTTGGTGGCACCCAGTCAGCTCCCTGACTCAAACTCTTTCTCTAGTCATTCTTTATATCACACAATTCACAGCTTAATTAACTCACAATAACTTAATTGCTGAATTTTGTAATTGCCTAACACTGTAAAATAAAGTCCTGATTTTATAGCAGCTTCCAACTCTATTATATACCTGGGGTGCAGTAATTGTCCTGCCTGTATGTCTGTCTAGTGCTCAGGACACCTATGATGGGAAAGAAAAAACAATTGTTGATTCACTGAATCAAGAAGGTGTATACTTGCGCAAAAGAGGATTTATTAAATACTCTTCTGTGATTTATTAAATACTTGCAGTTATACATGAAATTATTGTTTCCTACTCCACACAAACATAAATTCCATAGTTCTACAAATAGAGCTACAGATATATTTCCTTTCAAAAACTATAAACTATGGTCACTTTCTTTTGTAGATGAATGAATCTGATAAAGGAAATCTTCCCACGGGACTTTAGTTTCTGTAGACAATCAATATCTTGTATAAAGTTTGCATATCTGAATTAATAAACTGAAATACCAATAAAATGTCACCATGGGCTCACAGTGCGCATAATAAAGCCTTCCTAAATTAGGCTCTGCTGGTTTGGTCTCTATGCAAACTGAACAGGGCCGGAAAGGCATTTAGCTTTGTATGACAGTGTGCTAAGCAAAGGGATAATATACACAAAATTTCAGAGGGAAGTTTTAACCAACTTAAGAGAACTATTTTCAAGCATTACAATAATTTCTATTTGCATAAAAATAATTAATTGCTGATTAAAAATGAACCTTCTTTATTCATTAAATCAAAGATGCATTGTCAGAATTTAGGATTACTACATTTCTGTAAAGCAATAAAACTGCATCTTTCAAATATCCTATAATTCTGACTATTCACTAATTTACATAGAGGACCCTCCAAGTCATTCAAAATAGTGATGTGGAACAATAATAGGTAGATGATGTTTTGCAAAACTGATTTGACACTGAAAAATATACTAATTGAAATTCATGAGACTGTATTGTTCAGGCGGCCCTGTTGAATTTTTTTGCAAAGCTAAATATACTTTCTGATGTTGCAAAATATATTTCTTAATGTATTTATTAATAAGGTCATACTCAATATTCTGATTTTAGGTGTGAATTTTCACTTTTTAGATTTGTCTTAAATGTACTTATGATTATCTGTTTTGGTATCTTTAATGGCTATTAAATTGATGATTTAATGTTAGTTACATGATTCATTATACATTATGAAATATTTTTTCACTCCAAATTCAACTTTAATTATCCTTTCTTAATTTGTAATCCAGCAAACCAGGTACACTTTTAGATATATTTGTGTTTTTTTAATCTACCACACTTTCCTTGAAATCTGTTTATTGCTTTAAAGCTTGAAGGTTCAAAAAGAGAAGAGCTTACTGATTATTATGTGATGGTACAGAAGTTAGCATACTGCTAGATCCTCTCAAACATTTACTTCCTTAGGGCAACCTGTGGGTGTGACCTCTTAATGAAACTCATGTGACACCCCCAAATGGTGTGTTAGAATAGAAATGGTTTACCTTCTGCTTTCTTATCTAAAAACTTGTGCATTTTCTAATTCATATATACATTTATACGTTGATGGATTCTGATTATAAAGAAATGATTTATTCTATAATCTCACCAATAAAGGGAAAAGCAGTGAAGAGTTTTAAGGTCTTATTATGTTTATTACTCTCACATTAGAATATGCTGATAGACTTCAAGTTTTATTTAAAAGTTCAAAGTTCTAAGTCTGAAAGCAAGCCCATCTTAACATCTTATTAGATAACTGGTGGAAACGTCCATGTTGCTTATATTACATTGTCATAGCTGTACCCAGATCTGGTTATGCAGAGAGAAATAAAAACACAGGAGGTGTGGGGAGCTTTGGTAAGAGAAGGAGGTTTTCCACCCCACTGGATCATGGCCTATCTGGGGACTACAAGGAATCATGGGATCCAGGTCCGCTGTGAAGATTCTGAGAACATCCCTCTAATTCTGAATGAGGACAACTAAGTTTCCCAGAAAATGAACCAAAGTCTTGGACCCACAGTGGCTTTAAAAATCATCTAATGTGGGAATAATCCATTGATAGCACAATGGTGAATCTCTAGGTTTAGTCTAATTGAAATCAAGATCCTATATTTGGGCCAAATTTCAAACTATGAGCGGTGGTTATTCGATTTGTCTGTTCTATTCAGTATTTGTTGTAACGTGCACATTTCTCACTCTCATAAGGATTTAAGTAAGAATGAAATGAAATTCAAAAGCAAGTGAAGACTATTTTTCTTCTAAGTACATGGAAAGACTATATATCACCGTTTTCACTGAGCTCCAGAGAAGGTTTCAGGATCCATCCCAAATCGAGCTGCTAGTTTTTGTTTTTGTTTTGAAAGAAATATCAATCTTATATAAAAAATGGATGCTTTAACTTTTGGGGAAATATTCTAAAAGTCTTGTGAATCAAAAGGAATATTTGGGCTATGATACATGTAAGAGTAAAAATAAAAAAATAAAAGATTACATTCAAAGAATGAACAAATCAAAGCATAATTTAAAGTGCACAAAAGGAATGCAACAAAAACTAAAATTCATCTAAGTCATTGTTTGGGACTTAAAATTCCTCCATTATCAACCAGAATTTGCTAATAACTGAAGTAAAATGACATTTTAGCAACCTAAGGAAATAACCAGAAAGACAATAGATAATACTATGAAAATAATAAGAAAAAGAAAAGCAAAGATTGAGGTTCAAGTCACATACAGTTTTTATAGAGTAGAAAGTATTTATAATTTATTCCTTACGATTCACACAATATTTTTCATTTCCAGAGGTTCAGTGCTCATCGAGAAATGTTAATGTGTCATTTAAAACTTGCTACTAAGAATGAAATGTTAAAAGCAGCTGATACCCTGTGCTGAGCAGGAGGTACGTCGACATTGAGGACAGAAATATGCTAACCAGTCGCTGAAAGAGGAGCGTGGGACTCAGCAGCGGCAGGACGAAGGACGAGGCTGCAGGAAAACAAAGCAGGGTAGTGTCAGTCGGAGGCACCACCAGCAAACGTGAGTTTAGACGCTCAGTAATCTATACTCATATATGACCCTTACTGTTTGTATGACCTTTGAAATGAGGCTATCTTTACCGTCATCATTTTTGTAAGAAATTTGAAACTCCATATTTTTAATTGAAATTCCATTTCATTGTGTTAAGCAAATTTTGGCTCAGATTTTCTCAATTTAAATTTAGCCTCAGTCATTGTAATATTAACTACTACATGAATAACTTGTTTTCCCATGTAAATAATAAAAAATATAATGAAAAATATTAAGATACAGTAACTCTTCTCTTAATTAAGCATTTAGTTCAAAGACCACTTACTCCCCAGAAATCGATTTTTCCTAAACTCTCCTCCAAGTTTTCCCAGGGCAAAGTACTCACTGAGAATCGCAGTGTAATCTCAGTTAATGAAGTAATCTTTACCCACAGGATAAGAAAGCAACTACTTCAGCGGGGGAAGGGCAGACAAAGGAAGAGGTGGCAGCAAAACATACACGCCTCTATCTCTGTTTCGGAATGGAAATGCACATAACTTCCTAATCACCCTACTCAAGATGGCAACATGCCTGGAACTAAATACTCCAGAGTATGGAGACAGATGACCTCGGATGAATCCTGGCGGAATCACTTATTAACTGTTTAACCATGGGACAAGTTTCTTAACCCATCTTAGCAGTATTTCCATCTGTCAAGTAGAGATAATGTAAAACAGTTGTGAGGTTTAAATACAATTTCACCTATAAAATCCTCCTTGAGCCTAGTGCCCGGGGCACAGTAGGTGCTTAATAACTGTTAGCGGCTATTATTATTACTAATCAACATCTACTAAGTTAAATGTAAAGAAAATCTCATCCAAAGTCAAGTCACGGCAAGGTTGAAGACTGCAACTTATATTTATAGTACCCTTGGACAAACAGCTTCCAATTTTTTTCAGATGTGTGGTTCTGATAATGTTATCATCACCTGATACATATGTTAACACAAAGAAATAATATTTCCTATTTGAAAAGCTAGTTCAAATGAGACTTCTTCTGTAAACCTACTTTCTATCCTCGTTTTACACTTGTCTAAAGGTTGGCGAGGTGCTAAAGGGGAAGTAAGCGTCCCCATTTGGAATGACGTAGGTTAGAAACAGCATAACACATAACCCATTTGTGGATCACAGCACGTTACTTAAAAATGCTCATTGGAGCCAGGCTATGGTAAATTGGTGCTTGGAAGAGATGTCTGGAGAGACTGCTGACCTACCTTTGAGTCAACTATTTCATGCCTTGCACCATTTGATAGGCATCCTCTAGTACCTAGCTCTCCTAATTCCAGGGAGGAAATATCTTGTTTAAAATAAATGCCCAGCCTATGAAAGACTCACTTCAGATTTAAGGACACACACACAGGCTCAAAATGAAAGGATGGAAAAAGATATTCCATGCAAGTGAAAACCATAAAAAAAGCTAAAGGTACCAATAGTTATATCAGATAAAATAGACTTTACACCAAACATGGTAACAAGACACAAAGAAGGTCATTATATAATGATAAAGGGGTCAATCAATAAGATATAACAATCATAAATACACATGCACCCAATAATGAATCACCTAAAATATATCAAGCAAATACTAACAGATCTGAAGGGAGAAACAGAAAAACAATACAATAACAGTAGACCTCAATATCCCCCTTTCAGCAATGGACAGATCATCCAGACAGAAATTAATAAGGAAACATTAGACTGGAACCATACATTACACCAAATGGACCTAACAGAAATTTACAGAACATTCCACCCAGCAGAATACACATTCTTCTTAAGTGCACATGGAACATTCTTCAGGGTAGATCACATGATAGGCCACAAAACAAGTCTTTGCAAATTTAAGAAGGCTGAAATCATACCAAGAATCTTTACTGATTACAATGGTATAAAACTAGAAATCACAACAAGAGGAAAGCTGGAAAATTTACAAATATGAGAAATTAAACAACACACTGTTGAATACCCCATGGGTCAAAGAAGAAATCAAGAGAAATAAAAATCTCAAAACAAATGAAAATGGAAACACAATATACCAAAACCTATGGGATGCTGCAAAAGCAGTTCTAAGAGGGACTTTCCTGGTGATAAATGCACATGCTAATAAAATAGAAAGATCTCAAATAAACAAGCTAAATTTACGCCTCAAGGAAGTGGAGAAAGAAAAATCTAAGTCCAAACTTAGCAGAAGGAAGGAAATACACAGATCAGAACAGGAATAAATGAAGTAGACACCAGAAAAACAATAGAGAAGATCAACAAAACTAAGGATTGGTTTCAAATAAGACAAACAAAATTAACAAACCTTTAGCTAGACTAAGACAAAAGAGAGAAGACAAATAAATAAAATCAGAAATGAAAGAGGTGACATTACAAAGGTTACTAGAGATACACAGGATCATAAGAGACTGCTATGAACAATTACTGGGCCGTCGGAAAAGTCATGACACATGTTTGCGACAGATGGCGCTAGTTCATTCTTGGAAGTACTAAAGTCATTCGCATCTATGTTATTGCTATGTCATTTGACAGCTGACAGTTCTAGCTTCATTCTAAAAAAAAAATTGAGCTATTTGGTTGAATTTTGGAGATTTTACAAGTTGAAGACTGAAGACCAAACTGCATTTTTGCCATATGTTACTGTTTTACTTCCATAAAAGGAAAAACACGCGTCAAGCTTGTGAAAGTTGCATAAAGTTTACGGTGACAACGCTCCACAAGAATGTCAGTGCCAATGATGGTTCACGAAATTCCGTGCTGGTGATTTTGATCTCAACGATGCTCCTCGGTCATGGAGGCCCACTGAGGTTGATGATGACAAAATAAAAGCATCGATCGAGTCAAACCCACGTTACATGACACGAGAGATTACATAAACATTGAACATCCATCATTAAAGCATTCATTACCAACTGAAAAAGCTGGGATACATAAGGAAGCTCGATATTTGGGTTCCGCATGAACTCAAAGAAGTTCATTTGATACTGCGTATAAACATCTGCAATATGCTCATTAAACATGAGAAAACGATCTTTTTGAAGTGACTGATAACTGGTGATGAGAAGTGGATTGTTTACAATGTGATGCGCAAACGGTCTTGGTCTCCACATGATGATTTGCCTCCAATGACACTGAAAGCAGACATTCATCAGAGGAAGGTTATGCTCTCAGTGTGGTGGAATTTTAAAGGTGTCGTGTTTTTCGAGCTCCTACCAAGGAACCAAACAATCAATTTGAATGTGTATTGTAAGCAATTGGACAGTTTGAACGAATCCATCACCCAGAAACATCCAGAGCTTGTTAATTGTAAAGGAGTTGTGTTCCACTGTGACAATGCGAGACCACACACAAGTTTGATCACCCGTCAAAAATTATTGGAGCTTGGATGGGATGTGTTGACACATCCACCATACTCGCCTGACCTTGTGCCGTCAGACTTCCACTTGTTTCCCTCTTCAAAACTCCTTGCGTGGCATAACGTTCAATTCAGATGAGGCTGTAAATCAGCACCTTGTTCAGTTTTTCACAAATAAAGATAGGTCCTTCTATGAACGAGGAATTATGAAGCTCAATGAAAGACGGCAAATGGTTATCGAACAAAATGGGCAATATATGATTGGTTGATCTTTGTTCTTTATATAAATAAATGACCTTTGAAAAACACAGACAAAATATGTCATGACTTTTCCGACAACCCAATATATGCCAACAAATTGCATAACCTAAAATCAATGTATACATTCCTAGAAACATACAACCTAACAAGGCTGAATCAAGAAAGAAAGAAAAAATCTGAACAGACCAATAACACATAAGGACATTGAATTAGTAATCAAAAACCTCTTAACACAGAATAGTCCAGGACCAGATGGCTTCACTGGTGAATTTTATCAAACATTTAAGGAATAATTAATGCCAATCCTTCTCAAACTCTTTAAAAAAAATTGAAGATATGGAACAATTCCAAAATCATTTTACTAGGCCAGCATTACCCTGATACCAAAGCAAGGGGGCAAATATAAGAAACTGTAGAATATCCCTGATGAATACAGATATAAAAATTCTCAATGAAATATAAGCAAACCATATTCAATAACACATTAGAAGGATTATACACCATGGCAGCATGAATATAAGGTAAGCCTCATTAGGTAAATACCTTGTCAATGCCAGAAAGTAAACAAGTTATTAAAAAAAAAATACAGGGCATATTTACAAGCTAATTTGAAGGGGCTCTCTCTGGCCAAGTCTGGGACAATGTGAGCAACAAAGTATCAATAGCAACAAGTTATAAACCTCCAAAAAAAAACAGGAGTTCATGAGTCTATAATAAGTAGATAAGTGAGTGAACTAATGAATGAATCCTCCTTATTGGAAAGAAGGGGGGGTTCTTACAGTAGAATGCTGAGAGCCTTCTGGTAAATGCAGTGGGGGTGCTGGAGTTAGAGAATCATTTTGTAGCCATCATGGCTAAGACTGAATCAGGAAAGACTTATGAATGGATGCTAAATCTAGGGAGAAATTTTGATGAGAGAAACATATGATGGTCTTAGTGTCTCCCCATAGATGGCTTATTAGTTGCAAGAAAGGGGGAAAACAGAAACCATACTGTTTTCTCTTCTAGAATCACTTAAGATTTTTATCAGATGTGAATAAAATATATAGGCGTTTTATCAGGTCAAAATTATTCTATCAAGTAATTCTTATTAACACATGAATGCTCATAAAAGTTCTAATTTTCTTTGTCAAATGCCAGCAAGAGACAGAAATAATAGCTGGTTATTATTTTCCTGCAGCGAAATTGTCTTTCAGAGACACTAATACAGATGTAAATACATAATTTTAAGCTATGACTTGATGTAAAGTTATCTCATTTGGTTTGCCCTCTTACCTAATATTATCCAGCTAACAATCTGATTGATCAGAGGCAGGCCTTGCTTCCTGAGTAGACTCTTATGGGTGCTATATACAACACACATGGCAAGCACTATGCTCAGCATCTGAAATTTAAAACACATAAATAACAGAGGAGGGGAGGGGCTAATTTATACATTGGAAAGAATACTTCAAAAAGTGCTTGAACGACTGGAATGTGGCAAAAAAGCTGTTGAAATCGGACCAGCTCCACTTCTTGAGGTAAGGTTAAGCGTTAGAACTCTTACTGCGCAAAGATCATCCTTCACAAGCATGAAATGAGGCATTTTACACTTTTCAAGAATACGTTTGGCATACATCATCCCACTGTTCCTACCGAGACATATTCATTGTTAACCCTGAAGTTTTCTTACATCATGGAAATGCAGAGGGTGAAATGTTTACTGTGTATGGTCTAGTGTCTTCTACCTCTGGCCTTCGCCCACAGTCATAGCCATTTATTCATTCAACACATATGTGCGCATGTGTATTCACTCGGTACTGGGACTATAAGGAGTCCAACATTCTTCAAGGAATATGTATAAGCTAGTTTTGAGTTGGTAACGACAGCTGGTAGCCTGTTTTTGGAAATAGTGTTTTATTGGATCATAGTCACTTCCATTCATTTATGTGCTGCCTCTAGCTCCCTCTGCACTACGATGGTACAGCTGAAAATTTACAGCAGACTCTATATGGCCCTAAAACAGCCTAAAATATTTACAATCTGGCTCTTAGAAAAATGTTTGGATTAACTGCCATTTTAAGAAATGAGCTAAGCTAGTCTGTGAACAAAGTAAACTGTCTTAGATATCAGATTAGCAACTTCATCACCAAATCCTAGGGATATATTTAATTTATTCTCATATTTTTAGTGAATTAAGAAGGGAAAAATGCTGTCAGTAAAGCTATGGCACAATCCTAGGATTCTTTCAATAGTAAGACATACTTTCATTTCAAATATGCTAAAATGTGAAGATACAAATCTCGGAATCCATGAAAAATATGATACACAGTATAGGAATTAATGCAAATTAATAAAGTAATGTAAAAAGGAATTTTGTTAACAGTTTTACCCTTTACTTAGGGGTATTTCTTATAAAGTCCATAGGAATTTTAATGATATTTTTTGCTCCTATAGAGTGAGGTTCAGGAATGTTCACTTCTGTCAAAGCACTCGTTCTACAGGTGAATTCTGTCAAAGGGCTTTAGGGTAAAGCCAGTCGGTGCTCCATTTAAAATGCAAGATACAGGGGCTGGCCGAGTGGCTCAGTTGGTTAAGAGCTCGCTCAAGAGTTTGAGCTCTGAGCAACAGCAGTTCGAGTCCAGCCCGAGCTGAGCAGCCGCTGAGCTGCCAACAGGTAGCAGGATGGCTCAGCTAAAAAATAAAAAATAAAAAAAAATAATAATAATAATAAACGAATAAAATGCAAGATACATTCCAATGGTTTGATAGGATCTTGGACTAAATATTTCTTCTCTTTTTATATGCTCTCTGTTGTTTTCCAAGAATTATATCTTTTAAATGTTGCACATGGTATTTCAGAGTGTTCGTGGAAATACTTTCTATTATCTCACCTTTGTTCTAAGTAAATATTTTGAGAAGACCCATATAAGTTTTTTTGGGTCAGTATTCTAGATGTTGCTTTTTATTTTTTTATTGTTTAAAAGAAAGAAATGTGGTTTCCACTATTATCCACAAAAAACCTATCATATTTTACGGAATATGGCATTATATAATCTCTAATTCTCACAACAGTATAGATACTATTTCCACTTTACAGATTAAAAACAGACCAAAGTTCTGTTACTGGAAATCACACATCTAGCATGCAGCTTAACTGGGAACTGACTCAATTTTGAAATGTCAAGTTTACAACTCTTTTCACTACACCAAAGCCTTCAAACAAGCCGAAGTTGACCATCTCCTAGGACATTGCCTGAAGCCTTAAACCGGCTATCCTTCATATAAACACACTCCGGCTGACTTCACTTCACAGGAGCTTACCCTCCTTTCCTGACCCGAATGAGGAAAGCACAGCATCGCAGCCTAGAGGAGATTCAGCTCAACTTTTAGCTCAGCACAGATGCTTCCTGTGCCTTAACCTCAGCTCTCCAGACATCTTTGGGCTGCCTCCTGCTGACCTTTTTGCTATTCATATATTTTAGAGAATATATTTCCATGTAATATCTTAAACAGAAAACTCTCTTCTAACCCGGTAGGTACTGAATAACTTAAACATGATGGCATCTTAAGAACAATATAATTAAATACAACCATAGACACATTTTGGTATATCATTAGTGTAACACAGGGTTGAAAATCTATAACTGACCTGTAATAGATGTAACAGTAGCTTTCCATTTATAAAACCATCTTTTCTTTTTATGAGAGTTGTTACAACAAACAGCGATAGCAGAAGAACCAGCAGGCCTGCACCGATTCTGTTTAAAAACACAATTTCAAATCTTCTTAAGATTGTTACTAAACATATGGCATATGAAAATATTAGGACTTTTACTCTAATGTAGAACCTGTCAGTCATTTGGTTTAATCAAGATGAAGTAGCAAAATGAACACACAGGTATAATAGGAATAAAAATCTTAGGATTTTTACTGGAGGGGTGAGATTATTTGTAACTTCTTACACTTTTTAAATATCTTTATCTTATTTCTATAATTTGACTTTTAAACTTTTATGCATACCAAGTACCATAATTCTTGACTTAGACAAGTTTACAGAAAATATAGAAGACAGTTAAACAAACATCTCATCGGTATCTAAAGCATACATTCTCTGACTATGAGCGTTTACTCAGACATTTATAATTCATAGTATTTCTAGCAGGACAAGCCACTCTTTCCTGTCATTGACCTTGTTGCTTTCTGCAGCTTTCTAGGCTAAAGGAAGGGTAGGACAGTGGTCACAAAGGTAGCACGCAGGTGAGTGATTTGCAAAGTCTTGAAACAACTTCTATTTTTTTCAAGAACACCAGGTATAGTATGGTTCCTGGAGTCGAAGGAAACTGATATCAAGGAAATGGTGCACTAATATTGAGCTCTATAGCTCACCTCCCAAAACTCTAAGTAACATAGGACAGCTGAAATTATGTTGAGAACAGGATCTGGAAGCTAGCAATATAACAGAACTAAGAGAAAAGGAGTTGGTTTAAAAGAAGTAGAAATGAGCAAAAGGAAAAAAAATAAAGACTGAGCAAAAGGCCAGGCTCAGGAGAACGTGACGCGTGAATTCCCAGGAAAACGGTTGTTTTTGGTTTGATTCTTCTAATAATCTCTTTGAGAACCGTAAGGGAAAAAAATAGTAGCAATACATTCAACATGGATTATCATTAAAACAGGAAAAACAGCCCTGTATGATCAAGATTCTTTGTTTTTAGCTTTTGCTTCTCCTTTCCTTTATTTTAAAAAATAATTTGACATTTTAATTCATTGGCAAGTATTTTTACTTCAGAGAACTGGAGTAACAGGGATATTACAGCTATGTTGTATACAGTTTTGCTTTTTTTCTTTAATTTTATCCTTAAATGTTTCACATATCTATCTTTATAATTTTCTAAAGAAGGAAGTTGATGTGAGAAATCAAATGGAGAGCAGAAATTTCTCCATGAACCAGGAGTCAAAACAAAGTAGTTGCAAATATAGCTACTAGGAAGCCAACACAAACTAAATTGCTGAGGAATTTAAATTAAGTATGGAGGGAAACATAATCTTTAAAAATACAAATTAGAGTTCTCCTGTTTTAACTACCTGAATTCACCTTTACTAGAATATGCAAGTGGCAAATTTCTAAGGAGACCATTTATACAATTTCTTTTCCTTTTAGCATATGATACACTCTGCTCACCTATGTCATTACTATTTGAGGACAGATAGGCAGAGACGGATCAAAGGAGTGAAAGGGGCTTTACAGAAACAATAGAAGAGCTCACCGAGCAACAGGAAGCAAAAAATAAATGAAAATATTTGAATTCGTCTTCTCACATACTATTTAGGTTTACAACAGCTGCAAAATGTTTTTACTTAGTGACACTAATAATAAAATATGAGTTAGATAATATGAACTCAATACAATTATTTTGGGCTCTGCTAATCAACTGACTTCCTAGAATAATTCTTAATCTATTCCATATTGGCATTCTCACAGAAATGAGATAAAATGTGTTAATTTATAAATTAGACATACTTTAAAATTAATACATATCTTTAAAATATTTTAGTTAATCTTCCTTCAATTAAAAAAGATATACCCTCATCTCTTAAAGATCAGGTTAAAATGCTAAAAATATTGCTTACACAGAGTTCAAAAGAAAGTAACAAAGGTGATTACATAATTAGAAAATAAGAGGAAATGTTAAAGGAAATAACGACCATTTAGTTTGCCAAGCACATGACAAACGACACACAAAGCCAGGTGATTACTTGATAATAATTTGAAAGTAAAGTTAAAAGCAAAGGTAACCAGATTTTACAGATTTATTTCAGCTGTATTGAGAAGAAATACATATGACAACAGCATGGAGAGCTCAGGTAAGGTGTAGAGAATTTTCTAACAGTTAAAGTGAATAAACATAGGAAAGTTGTCAAGGTAGAGAGCTTCCTTCCTTGGAGATCTTCACATTCAGGTTAGAATAGGAGAGGAATGCATTTTTCTTAAAGTGTGGACATGCTCAGAGGCAAAGACAGAGGTAACATCAATGGTTTTTAGACCTGTTTTGGTAACAGACCTTTTACTGATTACTCAGTATACAAAAGATACAGAAGTTTCTGCACTTTTTTAGGGGGTGGGGTGGGGGAGGTATTTTAAGTTATCACTCTTTGGCACAGTTTCATTTTTCTGAAGGCCCAAAAGCAGCTCCAGGGAGCACTAATGCCTTTCAGAGCCTGGGCCAAAATTATGACTAATGGTTTGATATTAGTATTTTAACTCCCAGTTTGTTTATGTGATTTTAGACTCATGATCAAAATTAGGTTCTGAGTTCCTAGTGTTGATTGGGAAAAACAATTGTATTGAAAAGCAAATAAGTTAAAATAGTGTTCATACACTACAGAGATATCTGGCTTTCGTCCTATAACAGGCATCAGTGGGAACACTGCCAGGAGCAGACAGAAGAAAATCCAACTCAGTGAGATACTCTAAAAAAAAAAAAAAAAGGTTATCTTTAGACAAATATGGTCAGAAAACTGTCTTTAGTGTGTCACAGACTACATGGCTGTGAATTCAAAGGAAAACACAAAGTCTTATATCTGTTTACTTCAAAAAGTAAGAGTTACTATTTGTGAAGGATCAGTTATCTAGAAGGTACTATATTAAGTATAACCTGAGTATTATCTCATTTAAACCTCATAGTAACCTGGGAGGTAGGTTATACTATCCACAGTATTTCAGGTGACGAAACTGAGCTCAGAGATACTAAGGTATCAGTGGTATCAGGCCTCTGATTAGTAAATGCAACAGCAGGATTTAAACCTGGGTCTGATATTTCAAAGCAAGTGCTTCACTCAATTTCTGTTATACCATATATTGATTATATCTGTAAACAAACTGGCCTGCAGTCATAATCAAATAACTGAGCCCAGGAGGGAAATCAGTAAAACTACTTTTGTAATCAGATTAAGACAAAAATTATCAATAACACCCCATTGGGGGATTTTATAAGTTCTCATAGGGTGGAAAGAGATATTTCTATCTTCCTGCCACCTCCATCAAAAAGTACCAAAATGGAAACCTGTACAGATTTTTTTGTAGAAGCACACTGTCATTCCTTATCTAGCTAAAGGAAGGAAATCAGGAGTAATTATATTTTAAAATGATATATCATGAATATACACTTCTCCAGAAAAAAACTGAGGTGGCTCAGGGCCAGGGTGGAGGTGACCCTCTGACCTGAGTTCAGAGCATGGTCTCCGAGGCCCTGCACTGCTCTGGGCAGTTCCTAGGCCGCTGCATCACTTAGGTATCTGAGGCTAAAGGAGCCTGGGAAGTGCTTCAGAGGAGAGTGTATCAGCCATGCTTCCAGAGTATTTTAATCACCACATGACCAGTTCATTCTGATAGGAAGGTCTGTGTGAAAGGTAACCTCAGTCCTCCTGTCAAAAGGACCAGATTCTCTATGTAAGGACACATTCTACCCTTTGCTTTAAAAATGAACAGTTCCCTGAGTTAAACACATACTAAAAGTAGCTACCAATCTGTCCAATGTCAAAATGAATACTTATACCTTTGCTCGAGTCCACAGATGAGTGATAAATGGCCAACCCGCAAATACAGTAAGTCCAGCAGTAAGCATGTAGCGGTAGAAAAAACTGAGAACCTAGTAACGTATTCAAGAGAAGAAATAAAAAGTGAGGTCACTTAAAAGGCATTACATATATACGAAAGCGATATGAAAATGCTGTAATGTGGTAAATTACTTACTAGTACTTCAATTCCCAGGGTACAGACAAACAGGTATCCAAAAACATGGCTCAGAGGAAAGGTCAATAGTGATGTGATAAGGTCTTGAATAACTTGATATCTGTTTAAGAAGATTAATTTATACTCTTTATTGAGTTAAAAAGGCCATATATGGTAAAAAATCAAAGCTTTGCGTGAAGCTATAAATCAGGGAATTTTCAATTCACAGAATATTTAAAAACTAAGAGAATTTCTAACAGATTTGTTTCAATGGCTTTACTTACCTAAATCTTTTTTTTGAAACTTAAAAGTATTTTAGAAAAACATACAATTTCTGCATTAATTTGATAATGATCACAAAAATTTGCTTGTTTTTTTAATAAACACTGATGACAATAAATGAGTCTTGTGTGATCTTAGTTTAAACATATCCATGTAATTACAGATAGAATATCAGAAATAAAATACAGTGAACCCATATGAATAAAAACTGAAAAACAATTTTTAATTCACCAAGGTTAATCTTATATTGAAATCTTAACTGTCTTAATGAAATAAAGGTAGGTTTTACATAATCTAGGTAGAGAAAATCTTAATTGCAGTTTTTTACTGAGCTAAATAACCTTTTCTGAACCCAATTTAAGATGTCACTAATTATATACTAATTATAATTAAATGCAAATTCATAACCATTAAAAATGTATTACGTAGTTCAGTGCTTTTTTATACTTCATTACTGGAAAAATTTTTAGCATTTGTAGTACATTATTAAGTAGGTAATTATAAAAGGTTAGTATCATTTGATTCATGACCTTTTTCTGATTGAAATCAATGTCTACATAATGTTATCAAAACTATTAAGGTGCCAAGTAGGAAAGAAAAGCTAACACCAGTCAAAAGGAGAACGTGTCTTTTGTTCACAACAGTGAATAAGCACAGTGAAACAAGCGATGATTTTATAAAATCAATTTGAAGATTTTTTTCTAGAAGAGTGAATTTTTTTTTATTTTCTATAGAATTTATCAAAAAGATATAGAACACAACATACTTTCAAAATCACATTTTCCCTTAAAATTTAAATGTATATATGTCATCTTCATTAGGACACTTAATCATTCAAATAGAGTTCTGTGGTAGAATAGAATTTTCTGCAAGGATAAAACTTTTCATTCTCAAAATTTTAAAACTAGAGCAAATGACATTAGAAAAAAAAATCTGACTTAAATATGTATATTCAGCAACCCCATTCCTTTCAAATAGAGAAATAACAGTATGTTCTTTTGTCAGTGTCATTTTGGCTTATATTTTCAAATGTTGATATTTTAAACCTCTTAGTTTTTATTTTTGATACTTTTAACATTTTAATATTTTTAATACTTAATATTTTTAAAGGACGGAAGAGGTGGTTAAAGCTGGAGTTAACAAAAATTAGAATAAAAATACACACTGTGTCATGACAAACATGCTGGCCAACCCTAAAAGTACCCTTATTCTTGGTTCTCAATCCCTGGACAGCTCTCGGGTTCTGGTTTGGTGGGAGGGTGCTTGGACACCCAAAACGAAGTTTAGGTTCTAGGTCACTGTACGAATCTAGACATCAACAAGATCGGCAGCACGACTCTTGCTTGTGAACATGAACCAGCCCAACGTACTGGTGGTTTTATTTTAAAGTACTTGATATTCACCTGAGAGCTCTACCTCTGATGCTTTCTACCCTGGTAAGAATCCATTTAAGTCCAACTGGTAAGGAGGCACCAAAAGCTAAAACCACAGCACTGTGAATAATATTCACTAATCTTGCCTGTACATATTACAAGATTTGATTAAATTACAAAGTTTCATTTATCCAGGCTTCCATGGATAGCTAGAAAAGGAGGGGCAAAAATGTACGGGGGAAAAAACATGCAAATTTCTTTGTGAAACATGACGAGACATTGGAAACTGAGATGATGAGACAAGTTCAAATGTGAGTTACTCAAGGCATACTACAATCAACATTAATTATCTTATTTTGACTCCAGATTTTTCTTATAAAAGATACACAAAGGAGGAAGCAAAGTCATTGTTTCCCTAAGGCAATAAAGATGAAGTCGAAAAGGAAAGGTAAACAGGGTATTTATATGCAACACTGATGCTGTTACAAATGAAGTTAGAGGGCTTGGAGATTTGAAGGTATTAGAAATATCTTCGTGACTTATGCTACAGAAATCTAACGCATTTGAAATCCAGATTTATCTGTCAGTGGAGTGAAAAACAAGACAGCAAGGTGTGTTACTCACTCTCTTAGAACTGCATACCATATTGGCACTGGCAACAAGCAATACACGTAGTAAGTCCGAGGACAGCCTTGAATCAGCAGGAAACATGCGATTAAAACACCAATAGCCACAAAGCTACATGTCAGGAGATGGCTTGGTTTCTGAAAGTCAAACAAAACATTGAAACACTTCCAAACTCATGCTAACTGATACGTTTTTAAGAGATTTTATACACTGCAATGTATTACTTTCAACGATTCTACCACCAGATGATCAAGAAATCAGTGTGTTTTATTCAAAAGTTCTGTCATTGGAGAAGTGTGATACAGGAGAAAAGGCTGGATGGCATGGAGCTGTTGCAATCTGGCAATTCCTAATGTTTGCTTGCAAGTAACTTGCTTAGGACTCGGAGCATATTTCTCCTTAGGAACAATGTAATAAATGTTGATTGAGTTCTCTGGCTAGCTCACAAAAGCCCATTCAACCCACAAGAAACAGCGGGGCCTAATGCGGGGCTTAATCTTCCCTAGGAACAATGTCTATTCACACTCCAACTTGACATGCTGCCCACGCTTGTCTCTCCACAGCCCAGCCACAGCAAGTTCATTCAGTCCTATCTGTGTTTTCCAACCACCTGCCAAACCAGAAAGCTCCCCTGCGTAAGACTGCAGTGACGGCCTCCCGGGGCTGCGCAGGCCCATTACTGCTGTCGGCCAGAAGGAAGGATGCAAGGGTCAGGGACAGCAATCCCAGTGACTGGGAAAGGGACACGTTTACGGAAAGCTGTGACGCTGAGAACAGCACAGGAGAAAAGATCAGGAGTAGACGAGCAGGGTGGTGCTCGCCTGCCTCCATGCCTAGTCCCCCTTTTTCCCCTTACTTTGCAAGCAAAAGCTAAATTTGGGGAGAAAAAGCAAGAGATTTTTTCCTCTTTATAATCCCTCCCTACTGGCATAAAATGTCACCGGAAAGGAGGTAAGAAACAAGGATAAATGAGGGCACAGTTGTAAAAAGGAAGGTGAAATACAGCATTGTGGTTAAGACTTTGAAGCTACACAGGCCAGAATTCAAATCCTGGCTCTGACACCTGCTCACTGTATGACCATGAGCAAAGCACAAACTTTCCCGAGACTGAATTTCACCCCAGCCATACAATGGGAATAATAATTCTGTATCTATTTATCCAGGTTGGTAATGCTTAAATAAGGTTATGTAAAGAGCTTAACAAAATGCCTGGACATTACTACTGTTTAATAAATAATGGCTGCTATTATTACCTTTATTTTTTATTCTCTTTTTGTGTCTTTGCATTAGTCCCAGCAATCACTACAGAAACCCATCAGCGAATAGCACTGAAAATGGACATGTGCGGACAGCACTGGCAGTCCCACCGCAAGGGGTGGGAGGAGAAGGGGCAGATGTCAAAACGGATGTGGACAGGTGGGGTCTCTAAGGCTGAACGTGGCTGAGGCACGTACTCATTTTAAGAGTTGATGGTTTCACACCATTTTGAGAATAGTAAAATAACAAGAAAAGAAGCTTAAGAGAAGACCTAACAACACACGAGGGACTTTCTAGTTGGTATAACGTGGTATAATTATCTAACCCTTTGGTACATAACAGACATTACAAATGGTCTACTTGTAGGGAACTCAATCATAAAGAATTCGGTTCAGCTGAAGTAAAAATGGAAAGGATTTTAAGTAACAAGAGTGGGGGACATTTTCTGTTTCATCATTGATTCCCGTCGCCCCCGGCCCCTCAAAAAGCCCTGATGGTAATGAATGAACCATGCCGTGTGCACTGCAATCCTCCTTCAACCAGCACACATTATTACGTAAGTTGCACGCTCTGAGCTATGCTCTGCACTAAGTGCTGGCCTCCAGGGAGCTGAAACCACACAGGTAGAGACTGGGCCATGGGACTCGGTTTCAGGGGTTAATATTTTAGGATTGTGCTAGGTAATAAGAAAACAAAGGGGCACGTGGCAAGTAAGGGTATTTAGCTCTAAAGCAGAAGACATGTAACTGGCAAAAGCAGAGCGCACATAGGGGCTAAAGGCCAAGCTCAGTGAGGAGGAGCTGTGGCAAATCACATGGAAGGGAAAGGGGCTATTCAGTGCAGCCCTGCCTGTCATTGTGATAAATCAGAAACCATCTGTATAATCAGGGGAACGCTGTCCTGTACAAGTGACATAAACTGTGGCGTCACACCTACATTGAGTTCCAGTGCTGCCATTCTATTTGCCTGGCAATCTGACTGAACCACCGAGCTTGTCAGGCTGTTCCTCACCTGGCAATGGAGGGTAACATTTGCCGCAAGCTCAGTCTCACTCCCCCATGCGCCCTGAGATTCTAGCTGTATCCGTGACGTGCAGCTCCTCCCAGAGCCATGCCGCCCCGCTCCTCATCAGGCACACGCCACTCTCACTGTGCAGCTTTTTCGTTTTCTCCACTGGGCTATATCCTGCTCACCCTCTAAGATTTCACTTCGGCAATAACCTCTGCGAAGTCTTCCTGCACCCCAAATGCAAGCATCACGTGCTACCGTACACAGCTGCAATCCTCTTACCTCCTAACTGCTCTCCGTGCCCCCCATTCTCCACGCCCCCGCTTAGTTAATACTATAGCCAACTCGCATTTTATTCTTCCTTCAGAACTGTTTAGATTGTGTCATGTCACTAGAGCAGACACTCTCGCTGAAAAATGTGTTTGCAAACAGAACCAAAGGGTTCGAAATACTTCCATGACCTCACCTGTAACAGTTAGTTTTATGCTACAGCCTTGGCTAGGCTATACTCCCCAGTCAATCAAACACTAATCAGGTGTTGCTGTGAAAGTATTTTGTAGATGTGATTCAAGTCCATGGTCAGGTGGCTTTGAGTAAGGAGATTATCCTGCACAATCTGGGTGGGCCTGACCCAATCAGTTGAAAGGCTTTAAGAGCAGACAGGGAGGCGTCCCTGAAGAGACCGCACCCACTGAGGGCAGCTTTGGCTCCTGCCTGCGAGATCCATCTGTTCTCCCTGATGGCCTGACCTGTGGATTTAGTACCTGCCTGACTAGACCCCCCACAACCATGTAAGCCAATTTCTTATATTCTATCTCTTAATTTACAGATTACTATTTCCCTGGCTTAACTCTATCTGATATACCAACTCTTTACTAAATAAAGTCGAAACTCTATAGTCCAGCATTTGAAGCCTTTCATTACTTCAGCCTAATCTATACTGTCATATTGTCAGTTTTATCTTTTTTTTTTTTTACTGTACTATCTTTTTTTATTATGATTTAAACATTCACCATATCTTTTGATCACACCTCATATAGTCACGGGATGTGAAGGACACCATGGGGAACAGTCAATGGTACTGTAACAGCTGTGTACATGTCAGAGGGGCAGCAGACTTGGTGGGGTCATCATGTTGTGAGGGGTGTAAATGTCTAATCATTATGTTGTTTTGTACACCTGAAACTAACAACAAAAAATATATTTTAAAGAACTGATGAACTAAAGACTTTGGACCTTTTGAAAAACAAATTCATCACTGAGGATTACTCATCTGTCAAACTAGAATAAAATGCAGTTTGTGTTAAGCAAAATAAAATAAAATAAAATAATAAAATAAAAAAATTAAAATGTTATGATGAAGTTGATTTCCAGGAAGTTTCATAGTGAATTACAATTGTATAAGCAGCTTTTAAGAACCTCAGTGAGAGCAAGATGGAAACCTTTCCCAAGTGTGGTCCCAAATGTAGTTCCAACAATGGGTTGGGTTTTGTGCCCCTAAACCTTGTGAGTTACCCCATTAAACCTTGCAGAGTCAGGACCTAAGCCATGGAGCAGATTCCTTTCTAACTACAACATCAGCTGTCCCTTCATAAGAGTGTGGTTTATGTCAGTCAACACAGAAGCCACAAGGTCAACATCACCACTTGTTTTCTGAAGTCAGTTTTATCTCTTATTAGTCCCTTGAATAAACCTCCCACATTCTGCCCAAATGGAACTATTTATTTTAAAGGCAGCGTGGTGTAGAAAGAGCATGAATTTAAATATTAGAAAACTTAGTTCTGTCATTTTACACCAGTGTGTCCTTGAAGGAAACATGTGTCTCTCTGAGCCTGGATTCCCCCATTCATCATATGAGCATCATAACCACCAAACTTCAGAGGGTGTTAAGTTTAACTGAATAACACATATAAAGCACCCAGGGTAGTCCTGGAACAGTGGGGCTCAATAAATATTACTCACTATTCCAGCATAATAACATGTTTTCCCAACTCTGCCTCTGTTTATATCATTTAATTTGCTTTCATTCTCATCCTTTCCCTGTAGCCTGTTAAATTTCCACCAAGACTTACATTTTTCCGTTATTTATCACCTAGCTAAAGGGAGCCCTCCTTTATTTAAAAAATGATACTCTGTATCACACTCAAGCGCTTAACATATATTAAAGTTGTTAAACGTTAAAGTTGTCTTTTGTAACGTAGTGCAGCATAGTGACTTGTATCTGATAAGGTGGTTATGTGTGTACATCTATGAATTACTTTATCGAATTCTAAGCTCCTTGAGGGCAGAATCTGAATTTTACATCTTTGTACAGTCTATGCAGCATCTAGCATTGTACTGTACACTCAATTAAATATTTGCTGCATTATCAGATTAATTAATAAAAAACTACCAGCTATGAAGCCTACTGACACAACAACCTGAAGACATCAGATCCTTTCTCAGTGACCTGGACACAAAGGGAAACATTTAAAGGCAGCGTTTGGCACCGGCCAGCGCCGGGTCCCCATCTTGATTCCGCCACATTCTCGCTGAGTGTCCTTTGGGAAGTTACTGGAACAGCTTTCGTTCCCTCTTTTGCAAAGAGAAATTATAATGCCTACTTCCAGCACTGTTATGAGTTTAAAATGGCAAAATAAATTTCAAGTACACAGCAGAGTGCCTCGATATATGTATTATGAAAATATGGTTGTTTCTATCTCCTGTCCTATCATGTAAGAAATTATTCCTATTCTAGCCAATTTCATATACATTCAAATAATGACAAGTACTTGGAGGAAATTATTTAAGATGCATTAAAGCACTATAAAAAACTGGAATAAACACTACTGTTCTTTCTTCCATTATAGAAAAATAAAATAAAATTGGAAAAAATCACCTCTGGAAATCTTTGCAGACTGTTATTATTAATAATACACCATCTGAATATATCATTTTTTAGAAGATTTATACCTGGTAATAATCATTAGAGAGAATAAAGGAAATGGAAGCGACATATTCTCCCTGGTAAATGATAGCTAGCAATATATTTTAAAAGAGTAAAGTGTTTTAATGTAGTAGAACCACATATATAATATTACATTTTCTTAGTTAATATGAAGTATTATTAAAGAGGTTTTCTTTTTTTTTTTGCATTGAAATTACAGTAAACTAGGGATTAATTCTTAAAATGAGGATAAATAGAAAGTTCTGGAAATCTGTAACAATTTCAGCAACTTGAAAGAAGGTAAAAATAGTTCTAGGAAAACATATACATTATTTAAAAAAGAACACTTTGAATAAGTGATTTTAGTGCTTTCCAGCTCCTAAACTTTTAATATCAGTTAAATATATTGAAGTAGTTTTCTGACCACCAGTACTAGGAAGATATGAACTAATTATGACATGCTAAATAATTATTAAAAAAAGAACAGAAAATTAACACAGTTAATGCCATAGGAGAATTTAAATTATATAGCTATCTTTACAGCCCTCTTAAGTTATAAAGCCATTATTATTAATACACCCTTTTCCCAATTAAAGAAATAGAGATAACAGAAAAAAAACCCAACACAACAAAAGCAAATGCAAGGTAAGAGTTAGCTTAGCACAATGTGCACATTGTATGAACTCATTGCAGTTGCTCTGATTCAATTTCTTTCCTTAATCCTAGTGGTTTTATACCATCATCTGAATGTTCACTATATTTTCTGAACATACCTTAACTTCTTTACTGACACTGCTGGTGGGGCTGGAATGAGACTTGATGATCAACAAAGAAGCGTAAGATGCCCATCCCACGAAACCCAGCACAACGTTGATGCCCAAAAAGAATCTGTCATAAGTGTGGTAATAGGACAATCCTTTCAATGCAAGATCAATCAAGTCCTTACAGAGGGAGACCTATGGAGAAAGAAAAGTATCATTTGCCACGTGGAAAGAATAAGGAACCTAAGTTTCAAAGGAAGAAAATTATTAAAATCAAAGTAACAGTGGATGATGATCAAAAACAGATTTTAATTGTTTGAGGGTTTTCTTACAAAGTACAAGAAAAATTCCTGAATAAAATGAATTTTTAAATCTTGATAACAAAGAGCATTTTAAACGTAAACTATGGTATGTGTAGTGATTTAAAATGATTCATTTTGTGGAAATTGTCTTCAGATGACATATTAAGGAAATAAAAGCTCTCTAATACAGGTCCAAAATAATTCCCACATTTATATCGTTTTTTTATTATCTCACATTAGATTACCCAAATCAGTTATAAAACATCATTAAAGTATCTTAATATTTTAGAGAATAGCTTACCATTCTAAAACCATAACAAAAATAAGCACTACAAGTGCATGGTATTACTTAGGCAATTTTAAAAACCGAAAATAGAATTCTTTCCTACTTTAAAGTTATATGACCATTTCACAAAGAGAAAATTAACGAAAAGCATAGCGAGGAGTTAGGAAGGGTCGAAGCTTCTATATGAATTAGTAGACTTCTGATAGTGTTGATAATTCCAAACGTGTAAATATATTCCATTCTAAAATATTATGCCTCAGTAGGATGACAGAAACTTGGATCATACATTTTCATTATAGAAAACAGCAACTGCTCATTTCTACTGCTAACCCAAAAACGTTTACCCATAATATTATGTGAAACCGAGAAGCATGCCCATGGCTAAAGCAGCTACTTGGGGAATTCAGCCCTTCCTTGAGGGTTCCGGCAAGCTCCCTGGCCAGCCCACTTGGCTCTCCATGGCCACAGCGTGCGCCCCCCCCCCCAATACCCCTAACAGTGATTAGCTATTTATATATGCAAGGCCTGCAGACTTACTGCTTCATCATACTTCCTCTGTTTTATATAAGATCTTGCTTTTCTTAAAATGTCGAGCTGTTTAGAATCAGAAAGCAAACTACAAAAGAAAAAAAAAGGTTAGGTTTAAAATTTTTCCACATTTCAATTAGATTTTTTGTTTTTTTGCTTATTTGAAAAACAAAAGGAGGTGAAAATTGATTAAAGAAAAAACAAAAGAAAGAAAAAAAAACTAACCATGAGCTAAATTGTGTTACTGATGGTTACCTGAACTTTTCCAAGAAGTAGCTTACAGTTAAATTTGGTTTTCTTGACTCAAAGTTTCAACTGCCAAACTACACTTAAGACAGTCATATAATACATCATTTTGAAGAAATGTAATAGGCTAGCAAAGAAATTCTGACTAAATCAACATAATTAACGGAACAGCGAACAGTGCTGTGAGTCCCACCACTCAGAACTCCCGTGCTCATGGCAGAAACAACACACAAGGCAGATCCATCATGGCCCTTTGCACCCCTGAGCCAGGCGGAGACCGAGAATTTTCTTTATCAAAGAGCTCCAGGCAGAGCCTAACCAACAATCAAAATTAGTAAACCATCTGAACCTGTTAGCCATTCTTATACTACACCATACACCTTTCCGGATCCCCCTAGCTTTCATTTCTCTCCTCCCCATCACTTCCCTGTCCTTGTCTTATCACAAAAGGAACCTTATATACACAAGAGAAATACTCCTAATACTGCATAAACTGAAAAAAAAAAATCTGTATCTAGAGACATTAAGTTTACGGAATGTAGAAACTGAGGAAATGTTACCAGAACTCAATTACCTTATTGAAATAAATATATTTAAACAAAAAATTGAACATACACTACGTAACTAAAACCTTTACTCCTAAGGTGAATACCTTTATATTTAAAAAGTGCAAAATAAGTTATTTAAGAATATATTAGGTTAGAGCACATAAAATTGATATTTTTGTATGGTTCAAAAGCTACTAAATTAAATATTGGCAATTTCATAAGGCACAACGTAATACAATCACATTTCCTCTTTCTCTTTGGTTCCAGCTGTCTCTGAAAAGATTGAGACTCATAGGAAATACATCTTTTATGCAATGCTATTTATTTGGGTAGAGTCACAAACTTCTTTGAAAATCTGAAACTCTGTCTATAAAATGTACATAATCCAAAACCTTTCATATAATTTCAGAAAATTCATGCACCCCGGAAGCTCATCGATAAACCCTCTGGAGATCTCTAGGAGCCCCTAAGAATCTGTGCCTACACCCATGGTTCCCAGAGCTTTCAACTCAGGAAAACCCAATCACTGTTTCTGACAGCAGGGAAATTCGCCATCCCTGAACTCACTGGGATGTGGAGGAAAAGGTACCAGGAAGCAGAACACATCAAAATACCGTCACAACCCAGTTCTCTGTCCTTCAGACCCCACACAGTTTGAACTATGCTCCACGTACTCTTAGAAATGGAATTACTGGGCCAAAGGGCACAGGCATTCTTTGAGGTCTGCATCTACACTGAATTGTCCAAATTCCTATAAAACCTTTCTCTAGTTGACCTCACTCTCCTTGCTCTGATGCGCTGGGCCTCCTAACATACCAACTGCATCTTGTAACTTCCTTGAAGTTGATTGATATGGGCATCTTATTGCCTACTTCGTTAATTCTAAACTTCCGGGACTCTTGATGACCATTTCCTCCTGTTCTACTTAATTTCCCATTATCCCAAATATATACCCTCAGCTATAAAATGGTTAAATATTCATTCTTCCCCTGTCTTATCTTCATCTCTGAGTTCTTGTTCTTAAAGAGCCTCCCCTCTCTGCTTTCCAAAATCAAATCTTCATCATCCTTTATGGTCCAGTCCAAATCTCACCTCACACCATTAGCATGTTAGTGTGGCCTAATGAGCAATTTATTTCTCTTCAATTAAATTTTAACCTCCATGTGAGCCATTAATTATTCCCATTAATATCCATGATAATACTTAGTCAAGTGCTAAGCACATAAAACAAATCAATAAATCTTAATTGATTAAATGCTATCAAAACATTTCAGGCCTAAAAAAAGGAAGAGAAATAAGAAATCGCCTTTCTTAAAGCACCTAATGATTTGCTAAATTAAATAAAAAGATGAAAAGAAAGCTTGTCTGGAACTAAATTACTTAAGCTAATTTAGTATGCGTTCTCAAGTGAAGTCTTAAGAAGAATGTGAGAAAAAAGCATTTTTAAAGAGAAATATTTATGTTACATTATATTAATTGTATTACATTATATTATATATGGAATATTAAGTTCTCTATGGAGGACTTAGGTAAAGAAACCAGGGTCAGGCTAATTTAATTTTTCCTAAGTGGACGTTTTATAAACCTTGGGACACACCAAAGGTTCGGAATGTGTTTGAAATTCACCAAAATGTCCTGTACAAACCTCGCTGCAGCACTACTACATTAAAGACTATTATTAAAATCTTGTCCCCCAATATAATTTTTTTTACTTTTCCATAAGTTGAGAAGGAGTGCAAAATAAATCTTAGTATCACATATTTTAAACATAACAAAGTTATGTTTAATGTGAGAAATGTAAAGCCCAGAACATAAGGTACAAGATGTTAATTACCATTTATGTAAAAAAGACAGGACAAATAACAACAGTCAAACAAGGGAAGTTGGCAGGGGAATAACCAAAGGAATATCACATATAAATTAAAATGAATAAAGGGGACCTGCAAGTCACAATGGATAAATCCTGGAAATCATACTGAATGAAAGCAAGAGAATTGTAAAAAGTTGGTAAGATTTTAAAAATAGGGATTCGGTTATATCACATCATTTTATTTCTTAAGAAAAAAAGAGGATCTAAAGAATACGGTAAACTGCTAACATTTCTTAAGCCTGGATTGTGGGTACAAGGATTTTGTTATATTCTCCATTCTTTTCAGAGTGTTTACAGGATTTTAAAATTAAAATTTTAAATGTTAGCAAGAGGGATATATACATACATGTACATATGTTATACATGATATCTAGAGAGAGAGAGAGAGAGAGAGAGAGAGAGAGAGAACTGAAGCGTTGCCTCCAGGTTAGACGAGGGGACTGGAACACAGAAGAGGTAACTTTTTATTATGGTTTGTGTAATTTTTATTGTATATATGCCTTACTTTTTCATTCACATTTTACTAACCAGTTTTTTTTCTATTAAAATAATTGGAACATTAAGATTTAACCATAGTTATCGGTGATAACAGAGACGCTTTGGGATACCAATGCTCCCACCAGGAACACCTGGAAAGCCTGATGAAATTAAACTCAATTTGCAAGTACAGGAAAGCTGCTAAGACCACCCAGAGTTGAAGGGTTAAAATCCTAAAGAGAAGGAAACCATAAGACCTAATCCAACATTCCACAAACTGTAACCAACCCCTAGGGCATTCGTCATGCTTATTTGTGGCCCAGGGCAAACGCTGAGAATCTGGGCAGATAGCTGCTGCTGGGAGACAGAGAATCCAGTAGTGCTTTAGGCAATCTTATAAGACCAAAGAGATCAAAATGAAAGTTTGTGGCTGCCAAAACAGCCAGGACTTGAGGACCCAAAAGAGAAGGAAAACAACAATATACAATATTCATTCTGGATGAGAAATAAATAAATGAACCAAAACACATGAAAAGAAAACTATCTGGAATTATTTAAACTCATTTCATACAGATTCTGAGGTGAAGTCTTAAGAATGAGAGAGGGAACTTTTATAAGCAAGAATTTATATTCCATTATATATGGAGAACTGGGATAAACAAGAGGCCAAGTCCTGGTGAGAAGAGAAGTGAAAAGGGAGGTGAGCTTATTCCTCGGTTCAATTCTTCAGCTCTGCAGCTTAAGAGTCGACAAGGGGCTAAGAAGAAAGCCCCTAATAAGTGGACAGAAGTCTTGGTATCTCAAGATGTATAACAGACAAAACTTGGTGTTCATGAGCCACCAAAAGGGAAGGAAGAGGGAGCCCCGGGGACACCAGCTTCCGGCTGGACCCCCGCAGAGACAAACGGGATGGGACAGAATTTACACAGCCCTGAGTCAGCTCTGCTCTGTGCCTCTCCGAGCATAAGGCAAAATCTCTCTGAAGAATAAGATAATCCAGAGCTTCTAAAACTTTTAATATACAATGGTAAGTTCATTTAAAACTACCAGACTACGACAGGACCGACTGAAAAAAGACAAGAGAAATAAACTCACAAATAATATGGTTACTGGTGTTACCAGGTACAGACTTTAAAATAATTGTGGTTAATATATTCAATAATAGAAAACAAGATAGAAAATTGCACCAAACAACTGGAATCTATTTTTTAGATACATGGAAATGGAAATTCTAGAATTGAAAAAATGTAAGAACTGAAATTAAGAACTCAATGGCAGCAAACTGGACAAAGCCAAAGAGATCTGGTGTATTAGAAGACAAGTCAGTAGAAAATATCTTGTGTAAACCTTGAAGAGCAAAAAGAATTGAAAAGACCATTTAAAAAAACCATTCAAGTCACTGTGAACAGGAGATAGATATACCAGACGATGCCAAAAAAATGCATACACATGACTTGTATTCATCTCTTGTTATCAGTATATATTGAATATTACAATTTTAATAGTTTTTTCCTTTCTTAAAATGCGCATACATTTTTTGGGGCAACCTCTGTATATATATCCCAGGCAGGGAGCAGAGAGAATTTGGCAAAAGTAATATTTGATGATAATGGCAACACATTTCTACATAGTAATTTGTATGAAAAAAATTCCTTTGCTGACTAAATCTTTTATATTGAAAACATCAAGTTTAAAAGAATGTTTCAGCAACATGTTATGCTTGTTAAGTAAAAAGAAAAAGAGAAATAAGTATTGTGCACATTTCTTTGCTGTGATCGCTGTTATTCCATCCTTTCCCATAGTTATTTGAATGCTGTAGAAGAAAGTAGACCATGTTTTAGGATTCTCAAGAATTTTATCATCAATTATTCAGGGTGAACTAATGCTTGGAGAAAAAAATTGCTTTAAAATGCTGCCCTGTAAAGTATTATATCTTCTTTCCTCAGATTTTCATTACAAAACGATTTCACCTGCATTTAGACATAATATTTTAGATACCTGGTGATATCTAGACCATTCCTTTTTAAAATAAATATTTAGATTAAAGAAAAATACATTTCAAGAAGATAAAGTCAGCGAGAGCAGAATAAAATATTATTTCTAGAATAATTTGCATTCTTTGACCAAATGATGTAGAATCATGTTATTTTTAATGTCATATAGTGAACATGTTTCTATGTATGCATGTGATATATAAAAGTTACTTTTTTAAAAGGAGAATTTCAGTTTTGAAGCAGAAAATTACATTTCTAGCAAATAATTAGTAAATCGGATGGGTGACATGCTAGATTCATATTAAAATAAGCATGTAAATTTGGTCTAAGGGAGAAACTTTGATCCATGTCAGCCTAAAAGAAACAAATATGTTAAAAAGAACCAAAGTATCTTTTGCCATTTTAGTAAAAAATACATTAAAATATTTTGTTAAAATTTATTTAAGTTCCCTGAATTCACATAGTGAATTTTAAATAAAAGACAACATGTTTTTGCTTCTATTGGCAAGGTACAGTATCTCCTTCCCATTTTCATTTTTTTCTAAAATATCTCTTAAAAGACCTTTGTTTTCTTATTTCATAAAATTTTTCTCTCTTAAAGTTTTTCTTGTCTTCCTGTGACCTTTATAGTACACACTTTTCAAATATAAAGTGTTTTTCCTCATTTTTCAGGTACTTTCATGGATAGGCAGAATTTTTGTTTAGTCTAGTCATGTAGCGCCACCTGCTGGTCATCTCTTTGCATAGCCCAGGGGTCTATTAGACCCAATTTTAATTCTGAGTTTCTTTTTTGAGCAAGCAATTCCATTTGTGGGAATAAATATTTCATGACTTAGAGGTCTTTAAAATATCAAAGATAAAGTTTACATGTTTTTTTTAAACAACAGGATAAAATAGCATATACAAATATCAGATGGATCCATTGGACCCTTACACAAGTCTAAGACATGTTGTAGGATTTTAGCAATCTTATTTTTCCTATATCTTGAAACATTTGCTATTTTATCACCCTAGAAATTGCTAAGTATTCATCAATTATTAATGCTAGAAAAGACAACGGAATAAGACAATGGAAGAATGGGAGAAAGATACGACTGAAGTAAAATGCAGTGATGCTGGTGAAATTGATCATGTAAGTCAACTCTCAAGATGATGAATTTTCAGATGTCAATATCCTAGTAAATTTTCTCTAACTTAAGAATTGGTGAGTGAACAATATACGTCTAAAAATGAAAAGAAAATATGGCACTTATTCCGGAGGAAAGGACTTCCCCACACAATTGTTTTTAGCAAGAACCTGAGCTATCTGTTTTGCAAAAACGAGGTGTGACGCCTGTATTCTTTCATCTTTTATGATAGTTATGTGCCAATGTTTACTTGATACAGTTTCTAAGTGGACAATGCTGGCCTTAGGTGTATATATAGCGGTGAATGGAAGGAAACAGATGTTATAAAAAAAAATTATTGGATTAGAGAAAAGTAAAGAGCCCGTTGTACTCAGAGGATGAATGGTGATAACTGTTTTCCCTGGTATACTGTAGGAAAAAAAAGATACTACTCATAATAGTAATAAAACATCCAGGAATAAAATAATATGAAATGTATATAATAGGGAAAAGTATAAAATTTTACTTAAGGAAATAACAGAAGAGAGAAATAAATGTTGGATTGTAATGTTCAATATTGTAAAAATGTCAGTTCCCTCCAAACCACTGCCTAAATGCTGTACACTTTTTTACACAGCCCAAGATGTTCATTTCTAAAATTTACACGGAAAAATGAACTTTTTATTCATGCCCATGATTTTTATGATTTTATGATTCATGCCAATGATTCAAATACGTATTTATTTTTTGTTTCTTTTTTAATATAAGTTTTATCAAAGCAGTATATGATGCATATAATTTTTAAAAATCAAAAAGAGTACAGAAGGGCATAATGACCACCAATAAATCCCTGCCCCACCCATCTTATCGCTCAACTCCCCAGACCAGAGACAGATACTTTTCAAGTGTCTGTTTTTAGTTATTTTGGTAGTTACTTCCATTTTTCCTAATAACATGCTTTTATTACCATTTCTTGACTTGCTGACCTGAGGCGCTCTCTAGTGACCCCCCGACTCTGGATGTTCCTGCTGTCTCCCCCTCCCCAACCCCCCCCACCCCAAATGTGGTCATATTACTATTTTTACCTCTCTGCTGGCTACGTTGGTCACTTCAATAATCTAATACCTAAACCTCTGTCTTATCTCTCACCTAGAGCCAGTCTCCACATCCTATTTCATGAGGACAATAACACCACTACTATCCCACTGGTTTTTCTTTCCCCCTTTGCCTTCCAACCTGTAACCTTATACCTTGTCAGGATTCGTAACATCACATTCTATCCTGTAATCATAATTAAGTCTTCCTTGCTCTATCTAAGGTTTGACCCTAAAAGCTGAAAAATCAATATTTACATTAAGATTATTTAAATATTTTTCAAGGTAGCAAAGTTTTATGCTGTAATTAGATTTTCTCATCTATTTCCTTGAAGCCTTGATCCATGTGCCAATGTTCAAATGAATTCCCTTTCTCATAGTCCCAGCAACTGTGCAAAACCATGTCACAGCTTGGGCTACTCCATGATGAAAGCACACTTGCCTATACAGTTTGAAATGTTTCCTTTTCCCTGAAGTTTCCAGTTGTCATTGATTTGGGAGATGAATAAATGTATGCCTTGCATGTAAGTCATCGTGTTCCCCCCAACTTCTTACTCAATCCATATGTTACTTAAAATTCATTTCATTTCACTTGAGGTCTGCTCCCTACCTGTTATAATTTGGAGGATTTGTCTCCCATTTGGACTATTCTTGTACAATTTATCATTCCCTAAGTTTTTAGCTGCATTGCCCTTTTTTTAAAAAAAATGTACTCTTTCTCGTTTGGTAAAGTTCACACTGCTTTTTATTTTACGGATGCAATAGTTTCTTAGATATTTCTGAGGATTTTGATATTTTTAAGTTCTTTCCTCTTCCTTAAATTATCTATTTCCTCAAGAGTCAATTCTTCATTTTATCTTGGGCTTTTCTGGTTATATTGCAGGCTTTCAATGACTGTGACTTTCTGCAGGCAGGGCTGGTGGCTTCGCTCCAGGGTGGGTGAGCCAGTGGGTAAGAACCCACAATTCTGCTGAGCCCCCGGAAGACACAAAGCTAACAGCAGCTTTGCAGGCAGATGCTGAGCATCAAAGCACAGGAAGTTCATGGTGAGCCAGCAGGCCAAGTGGAAGGAGGCGGGCAACGTGCACGTGAACCCCTTACAGGAGAGTGCCTCCCTGACCATCTTCCTAAGGTGGCAGGGCCTAAGTAACCCTCTGCTAGTTTCAAAGACCTGTGTGTTTTCTTCATACCAGTAATTGATCATATATTTCTTGTTCATTTATATGCTTATTTTGTTGTGGTCTGACTATACCAGTACATTATAAATAAACAGATGCATATGCTATATCTATATATAGAGAGATATATATGATATAATATGGGGCAAATTCCAACAGATAAAGGTTTGGCTTATAGTCTTTATAAGCATATGTGATAACCCTACAACTAGGGACACTCCTCAAAGGTAATGCTACTTTTGATATATATAATATCTAGGGTAATTAATTTCATATGATCATAACTTGCAAAATGCTAATTTGCTTTGTTTTTGCTCCTGTATGCGCACGTGTGCACGCACGCATGCACGCGCGCGCGCGCACACACACACACACACACACACACACACACACACACACACACACAGAGTCAGGAACTATTTAAGCCTTTCTAGTTTATGAATACCACACTCCTGCTACATAAATTGTCAAACAGAATTCCAATAAGTCATTCAATCCCATCCCTAACATGCACATTTTAAACACTTTCTACTTATTCTGGTCAAGAGCAAACTTCTTCCTAATTCAATGTGAATCCTTGCTAATTAAAAATGAACCTCACGGAGGCTGAACAAACCTGCCCATGTCAGCAGTGCAGGGCCCGGTTTTGGACTCAAATCTCCCCGTTCCCGATTCAAGGAAATTATACTTTTTTTGGGATCTGAGAGAGGGAAATCTGCTGCCCACCAAAGTCTGCTCTCGTCTTTGCCCACCCAGTGGCTGCGTTTCCCAGGACTGTATCACTGGCCTTTTCTCGTCACTTTCTACATTCTCCCTCGAGCCTCCTATATGTGTAACAGTTTCACCACCATCTTTATGCTGATGGCATCAAAATCTTCACAGCCAACTCTCTTCTCAATCTTGAAATCCACATCCCTATTTCTAACCAATTAATTTATATCATCAAACGTAAGTTGCACTCAGTAAAATTCATCCTTGACTTTCAAAACAGCCCTTTGTTGTTTGTATAAGCCATAATGGTACCAGTACCTTCCCAATGAGCCAAGCCAAGATCCCCCCACCTTTCCAGTCAGGCCCTGACGAATTTATCTCCTTAATGTTCCCCATATTTCTCTGCTCCACTATATCTCCTCTACCAACCGTTCAAAGACATGTAGCATCTAGCTCATTATTTACAAAAACAATAGAAGAGGCTTTCATTTTGGAGTTTGCACTAACGTATACAAAAGAGACAAAGTCTCTAAGCAATTAATCTATCCTGTCAGCATTTAAACGCATTGAAAAATTCCTTCCTGCAAGTTAATAAATAATATAAAATACTTACTTAAATGGTGTAAACAAAAATGATAAAGTAACTTCTTTTTTCTGGGTCATTTTCACCTGGAAACCAAGTATGAAAATATTTTATTGTATTATAAATGAGAAAAAAATTGATTTCATCTTGAAATATAAGTATCCATTAAAAGAGTTCGTCAAGGATGGTTAACTACTTTGAAAATAAATGGAATTTTGTGTTACTATATTATTTCATAAATATTTAAAGAAAAATTTAACATTATCATTCTATCACAATAAATTGAGAATTAAGCATATCAAGCCTGCAAAATAACATTCTCTAATGTAATTAAACTGTACTTTAACTGTTAGAAAACAAAACAAGCTGAGCTGCATTAACAGTATTAAGAGTAACAAAAGTTTCAGTTCAACAAGCACCTCTGTAAGCTCATAATGCATATGATAATGTACATGGAATAACAAGAAATGCTGCAATTGCTAATGCTACTTCCATGGGGGCAAATTCCAATGAACAAAGACTTGCTTTGTGCTCTTTATAAGCACAGGTGGTAGTCTTATAATTAGGCAGACTTGTCAAAGATAATTCTACATCCTCAACCTGATTCATGGAACCTGCATCTCAGAAATGGAAAGCTGTATGACACTAGTCAAATACACAACATTTAAAGATAATAATGTATGGAAAACCATTTCTTAAAACAAATGTCTTGGGCCAGCTGAGTGGTGCGTTGGGTAAGAGCTAGCTTGGGATGCCAGAGGGCCCCGGTTCGGATCCCACATATGAGGGCCAGTGACACTGCCCTCTACAGCTAAGATGCTGAACAACAGCTCGACCTGNGTGAGCGGCCGTCCAGAAGCCAGCGACTGATCTGCCTCGCCCGGGAAGAGCGCAATGATGGTGCCAACTTGGGCCAGTGAAGCAACTTCCTCCACAACTAGACTGAAGAACAAAACGACAGCAACTTGTCTGTTCCCCTTCCCCCAATTGCCCAATAAAAATCTTTAATAAAACAAAAAACAAAAACTGAATCTTCCTTGAAGATATTCAGTTTTTAAGTGGTAGCAGTGTCCGTTTGTGTGTAGGGGGCCTCACTTTACCTTGAACTGTTCGAGAATCTGCACTGCATTTGTGTACATGCTCTCTGCTTTAAAGACATCAGTGTTGTTAAGATAATCCACAGGAAGGATTCCCTGGAAATAATAAATAGTGGTTTAATATTAGTATCAACAAAGGTCAGGCTATTCTCATAAAACAAAACAGACTTACACGGGAAGCAATGAAGACAGGACATATGGACAAATACATTACTAGAATAATTAAACAAAAAATCTTTTTTTAAACCATAACTGAAAAATGTTCTATTACTTTCTCACAGAGTAGATATAATAAGCAAAGCGAAAGAGATGAATTAAGTTCAATAAAACCTAATGTTTACTGAAAGGTTACTATGTGCTAGGCAATATACTAAATACTTTGCACACATATAAAAAATCACTAAGGTGGGCCACAGCTAGCATACTTAAAAAAAAACACAAAAAAGCAAAGGCATAATAAGAAATGTGAGCGTATATTGTGCATAGTAAGAGTAAGGATTGTTTTGTGAAACTTTCGTTTCAGTTACAGACATATACACATACTTATGAATACAGGGGTCATTTTACTCAGGATCTATGTTGGATTGCATTTTTCTGGGTTTTTTTTTATTTGAAGAATTAAGAAGAATGGCTGGTTGGAATGGATTTAGTTTGTTTTGGCTTTTTAGGATCCACTCCCCATTCTTAGCAGCATTACCATTCTATGTGGACAAATCTCTCCCGTTGGATATAGCATAGTAGGTCTCTTGTGGGCCCCTGCCTTTCCTTATTGAAGGGAAGACATATAGCTCAGGCCAGGCCACTCAAATGGTGAGCACTGGCATTTGACTGTGAGAGTTAAGGAAGGAAAGCACCACAACAGGTGTGATGCTCCTCTCCCCGGGTGCTGGTGCCCTGAGCAGAGCACGACTTGGTTCTATTCCTGAGTCTCCAGCGCTCTTGGCTCCTGTTCATTTGATTCAACAAACCACCGATGTCTTTTTAATAATTCCTTTTAAGTAGATCCAGTGTCTGCTGCTTGCAAACAAAAATTATTTACATGTTTTCATCACATAACTAAAAAACAAACTTATACATTTCTCTACATTTTAGAAAATAAAAAATTTTAAAGTAGCTATTAGGCTTGTACTCCATGTTGTAGATCATAATACATACACAATGACAAGGTATTACATATTTAGAAAAAATATAAAGGAAAATACAGTTTTAAATGTAATCAAAGATTATTCAGAAACACTAAAAAGTTAAATTTATAGTACAACATATATTTTTTTATTCTGAGAGTTGATACAAAAATGTTATTCCTTACCAATGAATTAACGGGAAAGGGCACTCCAATAAGAGAAGCCATCAGTGGTGCAATATCAGCCTACAAATAGAAAAAGTTCAAGTCTAAGAAATCTACAGACAACAACAAGAAAATTAAATAATTTCATGCAACTATATTTTGGAATATGAGCATCATATTCATTATAATCCATCACCTTCAAACGTTTATTTAATACACATTAGCTACTGATCTCTAAAAAATATCATTTGGTAGAGGTACCTGATCTTATGAAAAAATAAATTTGAAAAGAAACTATTAAGGGCTCCAAATGTAAAACACACTAAAAGTTACTTATCCTAGTAGCTAAGAACTTGATCACTTTATGTAACAGTTTGTCAGTATTATGAAAAGGATGCCTTGACTAGACAAAAAAACAAGCAAACCAAAAAAAAACAGCAACAGTAGACTTTAGCTGGAGAAATGTATACATTAACTAAAGCAAGAAAGAATGTATTAGGAGGAGGTTTGGCCAGCTGGCAAATCCAAAAAAGGTAAGAAACAGACAAGAAGTTTTTTAGACATAAGATCCCGTTTCGGATAGCTCCCCTTCAAGTCCGGTTTCCCAGAAGAGTTGTTCAAGCTTTCTGTCTCCTTTTTGTCATCTCCCTACACTCCTCGGCCCACTCTAACTTGATTTGACCTTTTATCACCCCACAGACCACTCTCCTTAAGAGAGCTAAGAACCTCCATTTTTTTTTTTTTTTTTTTTTTTTTTTTTTTTTTTGTTTT